ATCCAAATGAATGTCAACCTTTTCCTAATTAATGAAAATGTAATTGGAAGCGTATAAATACACAAAAGATATATCAGCATACCTGTGTTGATAAACATATGGCGAACACAATCACTCCAAGCTGAACGATCGTCATTTTGGACATTTTCTCGCCTTTTTTGTTTTGTTGTTGCAGTAATTTGACCAGATGGAGGAGACTGCCCACAGACGCTGCTTCTCTCTAATGTAGTCGCAGCATCAGACGGAGCTTTTTATATCAGCTACAGGTCTGTGACGTAGCCGATAGGACCCTTACACAATCCCGGACATGATTGAAGAAAGAGTTTACATTTAATATATGTAAATATATGCAAATAATAATGGTTTTGAACACAGGATTCTTAATTGTGCACACGATGACACACGCCATGCTAATTGTATTCAGTAGTGGAATTTTATAAAACATTAAGGAAGTCAGCTGAGCGCGCATGCTCCATCCAAGTCCCAAACTGTCCTCTTTCTTTCCAAATGATAAAATGCCTTGCTCTGAGGAGAAAACCACTTTCACCAACGTAGTAAAGCCGGGTACCATCTTTATTCACCTGCACACTGCTCCCACCGTTATGTTACCATGGTGATACTGATTCAGACCGTTAGATTTCTGATGTCAATACCTATTTCCACTGATATAACTCAGTCAGACTTATGTAACTTCTATTGAAAATAAAGGGACATAGATCTGAGGAAAAATAAAAAATCTCAAATGTAAAAGTTATCACTACCTGTTGAGCTCTCGTGCCAGGCCATAGCTATACATTTGGCCACAGCGACACCTAGTGTTCAGCACAGGATTCAACTGTAACTTTGTAATCAGTTTGAAGTAGTCCTTGTTATTAATGTTATTTAAAGGACACCTATCATGCTATATTTAAATGATATATTGTAGGGCCATACCTATATAAGGTATATTTATACGTTTCTGTTTTCAAAATACCAAACAGATCATGCATTTTAGCCATGCCTCATTTCGCTCTATGTGCTGTTTGCTGTCTACGGGGCTGATTCTGTGAGCTGCAGCTGACCACGCCCCCCTGCAGGAGAGGGGAGCCGTGCTCTGATCAAGTCAAGAGGGGGAGAAAAAAAGATCTCCGTCCTCCGTGTTTTATTATATTATTATAGGCCTATAGAGTTGTTATTCATTTGTTTTAAAGCTCAATAAATAACAAAGAAGACCTTTTGACCGGCACTTTTCTAATTTTGTCCGGAATATTTAAACTTTAACGGACATCTTGACCGGCGAAAGAAACTGAAACTGAAACTCTGCCGCACGGTCCCCTCGTTCCTTGGAAGAGGCAGAGAGGTGGGTGTTTGTCATCTGCTGGTGGACTAACCGGAGAGAATTACAGTGCTTGCCTCGACGGGGAGGGATTGCATTGAATTAATGCAGCGGGAGCAAACGCTTGCCTCGGGGAGGGAGAAAAAAAGCCACAGCGGAGAATAAACAGAAGGGTAACCATGGTAACTATGGGCGGGAAGTCTTCTTCGCTGCTTTTGTGGCAGACTACAGCGCCACTTACAGGCCTGGCATATGTACTACAGCGTCTCCAGCGCTTTCGAGTGGCAATGGCCGGCCGTGGCCCAACCCCACATTCCCCTGATAGGTGGAGAGTTGGCCCAATAGCCGTAGCGCCACTTTACTGATGTAAGTAAAGTGTTCAAATCTGGATCAGTTTTTATCAGATCCGTTGCAGCCCCTTTTTTAGAGATTTGGGTATGGAGGAAAATAGAGAGGGTTGTGTTTTCTGGACACATATTCATGTATAAAAGACGTACAAAAGTGCATTTTGCATGATAGGTCCCCTTTAATATTAGCTAGTTTCTACAGAGTGCTTTAGTATATCAGGTTGTACCGTTAAAATTGTTGAAATGTCTCTTTTTTTCTCTGTGAATGGACAGACATTCAGTATGCAAGAAAAGCAGTGGTGGAAAGTACATTTACTCAAGTACTGTACTTAACAACAATTTTGAACTTTACTAAAGTATTTTCATTAAATGCTCCTTTAAACTTCTGTAAATCTACTTTTACTCCACTACATGTTTAGTTACATGTTTAGCTACTTTTCAGAACCATTAACATAATGCAGCTCTAAATAATAAACTAGTGGACTTAATGTTTAAGGTAAAAAAAAGTACAATTATCCATCATACTGTTGAACAAAAAGTTAATCATTTTTTTGTATCAGAACTTATGAGTAAAATGATGCAACATGATCCAACACTATTAACTAATAATGTCACAGAATAATAAATCACACATGGAGGCATTTTTTCTGCAAAATTACTGCTTTTACTTTTTATACTTTAAGTACATTTTGCTGATAATACTTTTGTACTTTTTCTGAAGAAAGATTCTGAATGAAGGACTTTTACTTGAAATAAAGTATTTTTTCATTAAAGTATTGGTACTTTTACTCAAGTAAATAATCTGAATACTTCTTCCCTGCAAAAAAGTGAATGCCAATCAAATTTAGTGAAAAAGTAAAGCAATAACTTTAATTAAGAAAAAAGTGTATCTAAACATAATAAATTATTATAACACTCGTGAAAAGTAAACAGCTTAACACCTTAATCAGGAGCTACAGAGGAACATCTTTATAAGCTGATTAACGAGCAACAACTTATTTGTTTGTATGATAAGAAGTGTGCGTGTTGTTGCTTATCTTTTTATCATAACAGGTAAAACAAAGTTAAATTAGTTGTAAATGCTACAGCTCAGTGTATTTTATTGCTGATCCAGAAACACAGATGCCCTCATCAGCATGCCATTTGATGCAGGGAAAACACCATGGCTATATTCATCTGCACAACTATTCAAAAGGAGTAGGTGGACATCGCCCTCTACAGGAGAAAACACATTACTGTAAACCAAAGCAGATCACACTATATATCTTTATTCTGTGAAGACCAGTATAACATTGTCAATCATCTTCTAAATGGACAGTATCATCGTATAGTCATGTATTTATGGACAATAATGCAAGTAATGATACTCAAAGTGGCCAATTTGTATGACTCGGTCCAGATGTTGGGGAGTGTAACTTTGGACGTATAGTGTTCTCATTTGTGTGTTTCTTGAGGAACAGTGAGAAGGAACAGTGAGACGGTCTTATCCCTGCCTTCACCCCCCAGAGGAACCTAAAGGGACAGCGCTCCCTGCAGAGGCACCAGATGTGCGCTGTTATTGAGAGCCGGAGAGAGGGGCCTTTTGTAAGGCATCAGATAAGCCCTGTTCCCAAAACTGGGCCCGGATCGGGTATCATCAGCGGGTGTACGAGGGGGCGAAACCCAAGCCCTGCGCTGGATCGGGTTTCTGTTTACACGAGCCGTGGTCCCTGGATTCCTCCAACCAGAGAGGAGAGAGGCTCTGAAACAGGCCTCACGTCCCGCCTGTCTGTCTACCTGTCTGTCTCTCTGCATGGGGTTTAGCCACCAAGTGAAAGTTCTGCGAAGGAAAAACAGAATGCAGTAGGCCTACACATTGACTTTAATCAAATGTATTATGTCAACAGCCTACGCATAATTGTATTAGGTTAGTTGAAACTAAAGCAATAATTAAGTTGAACCTAATATCTTATCTAACACATTTCATTTTTTTTCTGTGTGGTGTCATCTAAAGCCCAGTTTGCCTATTACTTGGCAATGTCATTACCAACTTTATGGCCTAACTCTTCACGAGTAGTTATATGAAACCGATGCGAGTTCAAGTGCAGACACTTCAATGAAAATGCAAAAAAAATGATTATAACATATTATTTATTTCCAACATGAAATAACATTTAATGTGGCTGAATGCAACTCGCCCCTCTCCATGTTTTCCTTACTTGACCTAGAAACATGATATTGTTGTAAGCGTAATAAACTATCTGGCCCTAACCATTAGAATAATCATAAGCAATATGTGCTCGTCCATGACTGTAAATCATGCCTGTGGTAGTTTTCCAAAAGCAAAGGTTGCCCTGGAGCCAAACGTGCACATTACAGGTGGGTTTTTTGTATGCAGTGCACACAAATACACAAACAATGTCACACAAGGAATCAGTGATCAAAGAAATGCCATTTGAGAAAAGCCCCTTACATTCTGTCATGGTATCGTTTAACTCACAGCGTTCTTTTCATCTCTTTATTTTAAGACGAGTTTACAGACAGTGTTAGTACTGTGTCCCCTCAGATAAAACACAGTCTTTGCATTCCTTATGAAATGTATCTGTTGAGATTTGGGAGGGGTGGGCGCCAGGTGTTGGGTTACATCAAATCACAGGGCCCTCCCTTCCCTATCCGGAGAGGGCAGCGTCAAGTTTAACAAAGAGAGAGCAGGAGTTATACCGGAAGCTAGGTAACTTTGATTTCACAATAAAAGCCAAAGATGTCTTGCGTCTAAAGGATAACTTTATTAAGACAATACAAAAAACATATCCATACTATAGCCTTTTATTTTGAACATATAATATGTTAGACCTGATACAGAGAACAGAGACAATTAAGTCTAACATGAACAGTTTTATGGTTAACATGGTATTTTGTCAATGATTTGTTTGATTTTAATGTGAGTTTGACTTGTGATGTTTAGTTTGATTAAACCAAGACGGAGAGCTTTCATTGTCAGGTTTGAGGCACACATGCTGTTAATATTCAAAAGGACTTCAATTGGGATTATTATTTGAAATAGGCTACAAAAGAAATGATCAGCATCAGCAACGTTTTAGTTTCCTAAAGATTACGTTTTTCATACATTTTGGTCATTAATCATTTTGGTAATTTTCAGTTTTGTTTTTATTCATACCGAGATCAACTGTTTAAAGTTTAATTGTTGATCATAACCTTGGTTGTCCTTAGAAAACACATTATGTCAGGTTGAAGTTCACAATTTAGTTTGAAAGTCTCAACCGGAAGCCTTATCTTTGTTACCTGCAGGTGTTTGTCAGCGTTGCAGAAGAGAGAGTGCGGATTGTTCTGCTGCGGAGCCTCCAGCCTGGAGCGCATGCATGTTCAGTCCACTCCAATGGTGTGAAGCCCAGATGAGGGACTCAGACGTCCGGGAATGACAGCCGCTGTCACCGGGAGTGACAGCTTTCACTATAAGCTTCTCCTCTAAAAACCTCCAGCTGACAACCAACACTGATCCGGTTCGGATCCTGCCAGACAAGGACTATGCCAGAGATGGAGAAAGGGAGACCACCGGAAAATAAACGCAGCAGGAAACCTGCGCACCCCGTGAAAAGGGAGATCAACCAGGAGATGAAGGTGGGAGTGAGTTTGTTTCCAACTTCTATATTTCTATCAACAGAGTTGTGTTGACCCAGCCAAAACTTTTGTACTACGCGCAAAATCACTTTCCACTCAGAGAGGAGAATGAACTGGGCAAAGCTCAATACTGGAAAAAGTTAAACATATACTGTGTTTGTTTTCAGTGAATGCTCTCCTTGTGTCTTTTATGTAAGCAATAGGTTATGAATATACTTTTGTGGCACATTTAGAAAAACAACTTTAAAATGTGCTCCCCTTTGGAGGACAGAACCTTATTAAACTTTTCTTATAAATGTAAACTCGAAATGTCTAACACAGAGACACAGGAAGTTTTAATTATAGAGTTTCGCAGTCATTATGAGTGGACTGGTCTTGGGACGCCATGTCAGGCCAGCTGTGGCCGGACACGCTCACCGTAATGTCCAGCGGAGATCCAGATGTGCGTCACTTCTTCCCCGCTCTTTCAGTGCGCACTTGCTGTACCACAGAGGCTTGCCCTTGTACTCACCAAAAGAGAGAGTGCATGTATTTCCTACAAATAGTCAATGTCATACACCGGAAAACACTTAAGCACTATAAAACAGTTTTAAATTGTGTTCATTTCACACCAGAATAACTTGCCTATGCAGAGATAATGTTCATTGGGGCATGTCCTTTAAGAATGCCTCCTCTGTTTCTATCTTTAAAGGACAGTCACAGTTAAATCACAGTAACAGACTTTGATTCCCTCCCACCATTATGAGCCCATTACTGCATGGAAACTAATCCATGGATTGTCTGCTTTGTTTGGGTTTGGACACTGGGTATTTGAGAGTGTTGACGGTGGTTGTAAGTGATATCTGAAGCTCCTTCAAGCAAGAGCTCAGAAATCTAAAAAGACAAGCAACTCTTTTGGGGCGAAGGAAGGAGATTTTGGCCTTTTCGTGAGAGAGGAAATGTGTTCTTAATGTGTAAGTGGTTTGGATTGTAGCGTTTGATATCCAGGGGAGGTGTAGAGTTACAAATTAACTAATTTTAATCAAAACATGTGAAACGCTATCCCCTCTTGATGTGAGCCTGCTGGGCTGAATCTCAGGGTCGGCCCCAGTTTGTTGCCTTTGGCTGCAACTCTCTCTGTGGTTTGGGATATGGCTTGTCACTCTCACAAAGCAGATGTTTGTCTGAACTGCCAAAAAGAAACAAAAACAATATTGTGGGAAGTGGACTGGTGGGGGAAAAACAAGAAAACAGAGAGACTAAATGAAACTGAGCTGTGTGAATAAAGAAGAGGATACCCAAATTAGATGTGATGGGACAAGATAAAAAGAGTCAAAGGGGGAGGATAAGGGGGAGAGAAAGAGACAGACAGGAAGGCAGGCTCACTGATTTCTAGCTCAGCTGAGGTCCAGCCTTGTGTTGTCTCTGTAATACATCTGTTTCAACACCACATTCGGACCTACTCCCTCCACGTCAGACCCGAGCGCAGCACCAGACACCGGATACTTAACTTTAATCATCGTTAGGCATATTTAGCTGGATATGATACCACTGCTTGCACTCACCCACACACTCTCCCAGACACACACACACACACACACAGCAGAAAGTGAGCAAGCAAGGGAGAGATCCATTTCTTTGAGGCCCTAGAGCAGAGCAGAGGTCGGAGTGAGGAAAGCAGGGGAAAGAATGTGCAGTCAGTACTACAGCACTACAACACCACCACAGCAGACTGGCTGTGCTGGAAAAGGGTGAAACCTGAGAGGCAGAGCTGTGTCGGGTGTCAGGGCTGGAAGGTGCTGGAGTGGAAGGGAGGATGGTGAAGATGGGAGGTAAAGGGGGGGGCAGAGGAGAGGAAGAGAGGCAAGGGGAGGGACATGGAAAGCAGAGGAATAGAGTGAGAGTGGTGGACACTGGAGAGAGGAGTGGGGCATTTCCGAGAACCGTGGGACCTCGCTGTGGTGTAGGGTGTCCCGCTCTGATTTCTGCCCGTTCCGGATCAGGTTTCTCCTCCAATCCGGTTCGCCCAAAGCCACAGAGAGAGGTGGGTGGATAAAGAGAGAGACCTTTGTGTTTTCTGTTTTTTTTTTTTTCATCTGGACGTAATAAAAAAAAAAAAAAAAGGGACCACACATCCCATCTGCGGGGAACAGTTTTCTTTTCTCCCTCTTTTTTCCAATTAAGAGAGATAAACAAAGGATGATTCATAGATTTCACACTGGTGTTAGGTTTTAAACCTTTCCGTCTCAGATTTAGCAAGAGTAAACAACTTGAATACATCATGGAAAAAGCGTCATACTGTACTCCACTGTGCCCATATTCATTTCCCCAACTGGGCTGGGGCTGAGAAAGAATCCCTTGCATTGATTCTGAGAAGGAAGGTCTGATTATGTTTAACATAGGATAAAAAGTTCCACTAACAACCCTAGGACGTACGGTCACAATTTCCCACTTGCAGGCAGACTATGGCTCAGTTACCGTATCCCTTTACATAGAGCATTAATCAGTGATTTATTTCCCTCTTTTTCTCATGCAGACGTTTGCAGAAAGCACCATGAACGAGCTCCTGGGATGGTACGGCTATGACAAGGTGGACCTCAGAGACTCGGAGGCCAACGAGATCAGAAACTACAGAGAGAGGCGTCAGCATGTGTCTGTGCTAAAAGGTGAGGGCAGGTGTCAAGAGTTCACTGTTAGAAAAGAGTCTTCTTGAATTTACACTGACAGGTTCTGCAGGTTTCTGTGCAGACATTGAGTCACTGTTCAAATTAGCCAGACGTACTCTGCTGTAGTTGCAACTTCTCAAGTTTCATTCACTCAGATGCATCTATTGTTTCTCAACACCACTGTTCTAGAAAGTCAGTGTAGGTCATTGTTATTTGCAAAGAAGACGTTACAGTGTCATGTTAGCCATACCGTGGATGTATGCTATTGTATTACATGAAAAATATACAGCTTTATATTGTGTTTTTGTCTTTCAGAGAACTCAGTGCCAAAATCCAAGAGCGTGGACACCAAAGTCAGTCACTCGGTACTCGCCATGAAGAGTGGAGAGAGAGAGTCCTCCAGTGTCCCCTCCTCTTCATCCTCCTCTTCCTCAACATGCTCGTCCCTCACCACTTCCAACGAGCACAAGAGTGCCCCTGTCATTGTCCCCCTCATAAAGCCATCAGCAGGTAGTGCTACTCGACTACACATCAAGTGATGTAAATTAGCTCATGGCATGGCTGTAGCTCTCAGACTTACACATGCCCATATAATTGTCAATTTGAAGCAGGTCTATATTTGAAATTAAGAGTTTATGATGGGCAATGTGGATGGGGCATATATTGGTTTCAGCCTTTTTTCTCATGACATTCCTAAAAGATCTTTAGAGAAATTGTAATACTGTTAATGTAATACAATATGTCCTTTTGCTCCAAGAATTGTCTTTCTTCTAAAATACCCATCTGAGATCGATAACTAAAGTTATTTTGCTTTTAAACTAAAAACTAGTTGCAGCTCATGAGGAATCGGCTTAGTTCATCTGAACAAGTTAAATAGGTCCATATCAAATTATAATATTGCACCGATGTGTCTGAAAAACATTACACTTTCTGATGTTTTGACAGCGTACGCAAGCCTAGAGTCTAGAATTAAATAATGATAAAAATAGACATGTGTTGACTTCCAAATGCATCTGTGTTATCAGGGTGAACGGGGTAGTAATGGCAACCCAGTGATTGTCCCGCTGCACTGTACATATAATTGAAGTTATATAATAAGGGCTACAGTTCTTACATTGTACACTCAATGTTGAATCTCGAACCCATCATTGTTTAATTTAAAACATTTCAAATTGTGTCGGGGTTCGTACCCCTATGGACCTCATAAAGTGGTGGTGCAGATATTGAGAAATAACAGGGGGTGCAGCCCTATCTCTGGCTTCCCTGAAATAATATTTAAGTACTCTTTAAATTATTTAATTGTCGGAAATATCTCACTTGACGTTTTGGTGGCCCTCCAACTGTGGGCCAGTGTACAATAATACGTTAACATACTGACATTAAGATAACGACTTTGAATATGGTCACAGTAAAAATTATCTTCAACAATAACAGTCTTACACTTGCATCCCTAACTCTGGCTTTACAACTGAAACAGAGATGAGGACTGTTTAAGCAAAGCGCAATAGTAAAACTTTTGCAAAATGCACTCATAAACTGACGTGACTTTATTTGTTGTTTCCCCTGCAGTTGAAGATGTACAGAATGTGCAGATAGTGTGTGTTTGGTGCCAGAAGGAAGGGGTAAAGCGCTACTCTCTATGCATGGGTTCAGAGCTCAAAAGCTTCTGCAGTGAGAAGTGTTTTGCCGCCTGCAGGCGCGCTTACTTCAAACGCAATAAGGTCAGTAGCAAACCACAATGTATTCTTCACTAATGAGTTTCACTTTTAGGGCAAGCTTCTAGGTGAGATTTTGGGAATATTTGTATTTATGGCATGATTATCGGTAGATTTATGTTTAGATTTTTCAAATGATATGGTCCAAGTTTTTGCCAGCTATGTTACTCTATACACAGCAGACCCAGGTATCAAGTGGTTTCTGGCAGGTTAAAACACCTTCAGAAACAGAAACTTCTGATCTTTTGAGGTCATTACTTTTAAAAGAGAGGATTTCTGAGAATACACTTTCTATCTAGATGGACGACCCAGTATAGGAATGGAGCGAGGGAGGTCAAAGTTTGTAGAGGACACTTAGTATCAGTTTCGCGTTAATGGAGGAGGGGCCAGCCATTAAGTGGCTCTGGACAGGAAAGTATGGAGAACCGCTCTGATGCACATTGCCATGATTTTTCACCTTCCATTACGACATGGATATACCCTCTTTAGAAGTGCGGTGTGACAAGCAGCTATATCGCCTTTCACCTTCACTGTTGGTTAAACTGTGATAGGTTTATTCACAGAGACAATAAGGAGGGCTGAACAGACTATCTGTGAAACAAGCCCTCTAGTTTTTCGGAGGCCGGGAGGAAAACATTGCCGTTGGCTTGTCGCTGCTTGTCTAAGAGGAAGGCCAGGAGGCCTGGGGCGAGGTGTCCACTTTCAGTGCATACCTTACCTTCAGCTGCCTCATGTTTCGTAACTCAACACGACTCAATGGGTCACAGAAATGGGGGAGCACTCAGATCCACAGCAGATCAGCTTTCATGAATCAAGAGGAATTTCCTATATTAATACTGGCAAGGCCATTAATAATATGTCAATACATCACCTACATTATCTCCCTACTCCTTTGTAGACTTGTATCTGTTTCACAACACAGTGGTTTCCCTTTGTTGTCTTGACCTTTAGGGTTGAGTGTCATGTATGAAGTTCAAACAGTTTTTAACCTTTTTTTCTGCATTAATGACCGCAGAATGATTTCACTGTAGCACTTTCAATTGATGTAACCGCAGCTACTTCCTCATAAATTGGAGAATAAATCCATCAAAAGAGGGGGTTTTTACCTCAGGGTTGTCAAACTGCTTCACATTGGTTTATGTCATGAGTGTCATATTGTGGTTTTCCCCTGTCAGGCCAGAGATGAAGACCTCCACGGTGAAAGATCCCCTCAGCACCCCCATACAGAGGACTCGCCCAGACTGGTGTTGAAGATAAACAGCAATGTCAGAGTAAGAGGACACTATCAATGCAATCTTTTGTTTTACAATGTGAAGTGTTATTATGAGTAAATGGCTTTTTATGCTTGTATATTCCAGCTATTCTTTTTCTTCTAACCTTAAGACATTGAGAGAAAGTCAGCCTATTATTACTGTGTATTTGTAAACATTTCTTAAAGTTTCCAGACTGAATTTATAACTGAATTGACCCTCCACAGTCTCTTTCCCCTGTACCGCAGGTGTGCGATTGGTGCAAGCATGTTCGTCACACTAAAGAATACCTGGACTTCGGATCTGGAGAAGAACGACTCCAGTTCTGCAGCACTAAGTGTCTGAATCAGTACAAGATGGACGTTTTTTACCGAGAAGCCCGTGCAGCTCTCACCAGCTCCAGCCCAAACAGAACCAGCCAGGAGGGGAGGGCGGACACCATTGGGGCCGGGCAAAAGCTACTCACTCCTGAGTCTTGGAGCAGCATCAGCAGCGCAGGGGATCCCCGTCATAGGAACCTTTCTCCTAGAGGGCCTACGGCAATCCATGGATCAGCAGAATCCATGTCCCCCTCAGAAGCATCCTTTTCTAATTCAAAGCTCCCTGTCTCTGGACTGAAGAACCTGGAGAGACCTATCCTGTCTGCTCCCCCTGCCGTGGATATGTCCCCCCGCCCTGCTAACCTTCATCCTGCGCATCATCCTCATCCTCTTTTGGAACACCAGCCTTTACCTCAAATCCCCATGCCCTTCATCAGACCTCCTCTTCATGCCCAGGGCCTGAAAAGCCCCCTTGGCAACCCTTCCAGGCACCCAGGCCCACCTTCAAGCCCCATCTACAGACCTCCTCACTCTCCTCACATGCAGCCCCCGAACTCTTCCATGAATCCACCTATGATGCATCCCTTCCCAGGCGCCTACTTCCCTGGCTTGCACTCCCCTCCTCTGAACATGATGCAAAGAGGTCCAGTCCCAATGCATCACATGATGAACTATGGTATTCCTTCCTTTAGCCCTCTTCTGCCCCACCCCACTATCCTGGTGCCTTATCCAATTATTGTCCCCCTACCTATCCCCATACCCATTCCTATCCCTTTTCCTTTCCCTACTAAGGCAAACGTAGAAACTCCAAGTCACAGTGGTGTTATTCAGCCTGTGCCAGAGGGGGTAGACAGAGGTAAATCTAGGGCTACCAGGCCGCCATCTCCAGGGGTCCCTGAAGGGGAGAGCAGATTTGTAGCCAACAAATGGGGTGCGACTATGAGTCAAGGTCTCCCCTCACCAAGTCATCCCAACACGGATTGGGTTAAATCAGAGAGGCCATTCCCTTCTCCGACATCCACCCCTCACAGTGGAGCATCCTCCCCCCGAGCACAGTACAATGAATCCCCCTACTCAGCATCAGGGTCGGAGGGGCTGACAGACTTTAAGCAGCAGCAGCAGTCGGAGCGACAGGTTATCCAAAGGGTTCTCCAAAGGACCCAGGTTAAGCCAAGTGCCAATGGAGTAGTGGACCTGTCGGGGCTGCGAGAGTCAGGAACTGGGCAGGGTCCCAGATCAGGGCTCCAAGAGGTCATCAGACCCACCCCTCCTCTACCACAGTCCCCACCACATGACACTCTCTACCATCTCCAGGACTCCCACACACCTTTACACAACCCAACCAGCCCAACAGGGAGCGGCCATCTTTACGATGCCACATCCTCTGCTCTGAAATCTCAGGACCACAGTCCAAACGGGATGTCCTACTCATCCCCACCCGCCAGTCCAGACTCCCCCCCTTCCCCTGAGAGTACCAGCACCACCCCCTGACCCTGCGCTCAGTGAGCTGGAGGCCATCAAGGAGAACAAGTGCTCTGTTATTGGCCCAGTGCGAGTTGAGGGGCCAGTCAGTCAGTCAGAAGAGCCTTTAGCAGTAGTCGGGGAGGTAGGAGATGACCCCCATGTTCCTGATGAGGACCATGCCTATGCCCTGCCCACAGCGCCAAAGACAGGTGGGACCACCACCCCTCTGCTCTTGCCCAAACTCAGGGACAAGGGTTGCCTGCGGAGCCCTGCTAATACGGCCAGTGCTGGAGACATGGAGCCAGCTGTGAAGAGGCGATGCCTACGAATCCGCGATCAGAATAAGTAGAGGATGGAGGTGAGAGAGATTCTATTACAAGGCAAAGTATAGATAGACTTGCTTTCACTTGCTGCTCCATCTAATATTACAGAGTCGTACATTGAAAAAAGGAGAACACTATTTTTCCTTGTTATCTAACTCGTACATCAACAACAGAGTTACCACAAGCTGCCCATGAGTTGGATTCATTGCATTTGATACAAGAGTATAGGAACATGACCCTTACTGTATTTTCATACATTTCTTTAAATCCCATGGCTTTGTTGTGTGTGGCAAGACCCATCAATGTGATGTTCTGGTTTGGTTGAATTAAAAACGAGCAATTAAGTATAAACGGTATTTGAAGAGGGATTGGAAAATGGGCGCATACACACATTCACACATACACAAGGCAAGCTTAATCACAGGTCTCACAGTATGCACATGGTCACTAAACAGCATGGCGCCAATGAGAGAGAATCCTAGTAACCTGGCACTCCTTTAGGCTCTACGGTTACAGCAGGGAAAGGAGGTGGAGGGCACAGGCAGAGAGAGTCACTTTGAAAGGCGATCACTTGAACACAAACTGACAGTTACAATGCTTTGTTTGCATGGCATCCTGTTTTGTAGGCTCAGTTTTGCAAAGATATGCGAGTATGTGTTTAAGAGGGAGGGAGACATTTCTCAATGTGTACCTTTTTAGCTGATGCTTTTATCCGTAGTCGTTTGCAATGTATGAGAAGGTAGTAGGTGTAAGACAGATGGTTGCTGATAAATCGAAACCGTGACCTTGAGGTTATGGGATGGTCTTACAAACCTGACACTGAGACAGAGGGACGGATCAAGTGAGGTTGATCAAGTGTGACCCCCAAGTCAAACTCTTGCTTCTTGCTGTATGAACGGTGAGGCAGTGCAGACATGTTTCTGGGGTCACTGCAGAGACAGAGGTGATTGTCAGGCAGACTATAAGGCGCTGTGAATATGAAAGCTGGCCCTCATGTGATAAGGCTCTGGGGCTTCACTAGAAAACACAGGGGCAGAACCAGAGCGTTTCAATTACACATGTCATAATGACACCCTGTTCTGGCTTCGGCTCGTCTCTTTCCCATGTAGGAGTTTAGCACTCTCCTCTCTTCTCACATTTCAATCCCTTTCCTTCTCTTCACTCACCACCGCTGTCCCCTGCCAACCAGATGTTGTTATTAGAGTAGAGCAGGAAATCCTCCTTACTTTAAACCAATCAAAGAGCATCTTAATTTCACTCTCCTGATTGGTAGTATAAATGGCTGTAACACCACCCATCTTCCTCACCTGCTAGTATCTCAGCATAACAAGATCATGTTACCATTTTACTCTACGTCATGAGATTAATCTGCTGATATTACAGGTTTGATTTCAACTGGCCTGGTTTTCTCTCTAAAGGCCACGGGTTATATATCTGTTTTAAAATGATGGCTGTTGATAGAGAAAGCACAACATAAACCTTTATACTTTACCCCAGATGTTTTGTGTCTAAGTTACAGGCTTCCCTTTCACTCAATGAGTTCCAACCTTTGTCATTTGTTGTGGGTCAGTGCGTCCCCTTAGTAACCAATACATATGAAATCACATCATGCTGCTTGTGTCGTGCAGACGGATTTATGGCCCTGCGTTGTGTGTAATGGGAGCTGGCTGCCGTATGCGTATTACTTTAGCTCGCCACCTCTGTGCTCTGAGTTGAACATTGCCGTCTTGTTCCATTGTCCCCACTGCTAAAAGTCTTTAAAACATCTCCCACTTTGACAGAATCTGCAGCCAAGTGAAGGATTTCACCTCAGGAAACAGCCCGTTTTTTCGTCTCAGTTTTCCCTGCCTTTATTTGGGATATTTTATAGCCCCGTGTAATCCGATCCCACCACATGGGTATTCGCTGAGCGTTTGAAACTAAAACGCAATGGGACAGAGGGAGTACAGAACCCTGGTTTGGCCCTTACATGACAGTGTGTGTGTTTACGTTTAATATGTGTGTGTTTGAATGAAGGTCTGTGTTAGTGTGTGTGAGACAGAAAGAGGCCAGATGTTCTTAGTTTGATTGTGCCCTGTGCGACAGTTATCTGAGTGTTGAAATGACTAAAAGCCTCATTCTTGGCGTTTATGTAGAATAGCTGGATTAAGGAATAAGTGACCAGAGCAGAAGGGGTTGATATAAGATATCTTAGAAATTGAAATTAGAATCAGTCCAGAATCTATAACATCTCATTTCTCTTTCTCCCTCTCCCTTTTTCTCCATCTAATGAACAGACTCCCTGTTTAACACTGTATGGCGGTGCCAGATTCAGTGCCACGCCCTCTTGTGGACAACGCCAGTGTTCACACCCTCCAGCCTGTCCCTCAGCCTGTCAGCCCACCAGAGTGTTGCTCTGCCTGTAGACCAGCAGGGTGCCAACACAGGAAGCAGTCCAGATGGCCATATTATCACAAGTCAACGTGAGGGAAGAACACAACACAGTCACACGTTTTGTCTTGGACCAAAGAGTATTGCTGGAGTGTTATGTTGTGTTCAGTGAGCCCTTGAAATGGAGCATCTCAGATCTTCTCCCAGTCTGACATTGCCCTGAAGTGTGTCTGTGTGTGTGTTTGTGTGTGTTAGTGTGGCTGCCCAGATGCGCTCCTCCTCCTACTCCTCCTCCTCCTCCTCTCCTTGCTCCATGCAGCAGACAGGGCTCTGATCAGCCTTGTGTGGTCTTCTCAGATGGAGCCTGAACATGATCTCTTTCCAGGGGAAACGGTTTGTTTTCCTTGCCCGGCTTGCACAAAGAGCCACATTGTTCCTCTCCCCATATCCCACGCTGACTCCCCACTCCAGGTTTTGGGTTACCTGGCCGACAGGGGCTCAGACTTCAGGAGCTTTTTTATTTTTTTGACCGACAGCCAGGAATATAGTATACCCTTTTCCCCTCTACCTCACCGCCCAATCTAAATATGGTACACAGTAACCCACTGGTTCTGAAGCTGATCCCTCACAACCGATTGCCTGTGATTACTCTGAGACCATTTCTGGTGAGATTAGGTCTTTATTGGGCAGTTTATATACTGCCGGGAGAGAGCCTGGCTCTGAAGGGAAATGATTCTCCCTCTGCCACCTATAAAACAAGGTGAAAACTTCATTGAAAATATGAGTGGACACCTACTAGTTGAGAAGGTCTGTAAACACTTAAAAGATAACGCTGGTCCCTCAGCTTTCACATGATCTGCCAAAGATTTGATAGCAAATCAGAAATTGAATATGTTTTAGCATCATGTCAGGCACAAGACAGTTTACCTGATTCAAATTTGTTTTAATGTCCCTCGATCTGATCATAAATTCTTGAAATCAGACTGGTAGTAAAAGAAAAGTAATATTACACTCAACCGTCAAATGCTGTAATACGCAGCAATCAGTATTAGTTTCCTTTGCTATACCGGATACCTGATGAGAGATGATCCTGATTAGATTACTTTGACACTTTTTCAACACTTGTCCCATTGTAAGATTTTCTTGTTGTACTCCACACAGATACTATATGATGTTATATTAATTTATGGATGATGCATCTGTAGATTTTCACAACAAAGTGCTTTATTTCTTCCTTTGTTTTGTTTTTTCTGTAATTATTGTCTTTATGTTTATATACTGCATCCCCACTAGAGAGCAGTGTTTGCCTTTGTAACTTTGCACCTGCCCTTAGTTGAGAAAGCACCAGAAGGCCCAAAGGCAGCCTGCTGAAACCCATATGAGTACACAGAACATAACACTGCTCTCAGTGCCAGCGGATATGCAATGCCAAGTCAATCGCTTTTCATCAACATCTCGCTGCCATTATTTTTTCCTTACATCAATTACAGCAGTGTCAAAAGGACCCAGGCTGCCCTTCAAGGCCTCTTTTTAATGAAGAGTTCATCTGCCCCTGGGATAAGTAGTCATCATTACCAACTCCTAGAATAACTCCAAATGTGACCCACCCCTGCCATCATTCCAAAACGAAATGCCTATCGGTTAATGTTTGTGTGAGTGTGTGTGTGTATGTGTGTGCGCGTGTGTGTGACACATCTCTCCCCACTCATTCCAGCCTACATCTTCATCACAGGTCATGCCATTATGTTAGTGTCATCCTCGGCTGGCCAGGGGACTTTGTCAGTGATGACATCACTCCATGCAAATAGCTGGGGTGTCAACAAGTAGTCCTCTGCTCTGACGCCAGAGGCCTAAAAAGACATTGTTAAAGACTGCCATTGTTGGTTCTATTGCACATTTTAATCATTGCCATTTCTGACCTGATACAGTGTGTGTGTTAATCCAATGTTTGGACAAAAAAAATACTTTTGTGTCAGAAATGATATTGCTGTTGTTGCCTGAAATGCATTGGTACTTTCTGACCTCCCCTATCAAACATTTAGCCCACTGTCTGAATAGCTTATTCACAGATTGTTTGTATTTGAATATAGATTCAGTAACCAAGAGCTTTGGTGAAGACCTCTTTGTAAAGTAAAATAAATAAAAGTTATTCTAAGAGCAAAATAATGTGTTCTGTGTTCTTTAATTGTTTCCATTTATTTAAAAAATAAGCAAATGTAATTCTCAACCAATCACTGATCTTGTGTTGTGCTGTAACCTTCTACATTTAAATATTATCCTTAATAATGTATAGCCATAAAACAATTATTTAGATGTGTAAATGTAGATAAGGACAACTAGCACACGGCAGTCCCTGTCATTTACTATTTTTAGTGCCAGCGTGTCTGCAAGGCAGCGCATCAGCATTCCTAAAATACTGAAAGTTGGTCGAGGCCCTGAGCTGTGACGATAAAAGAGATGAATGAGATAAGTGATCAGGAATTCTCGGTGAGGGCTCGGGGGGGTTCAGGGATTGGAGGCACTAGGCAGTTAGGGGACTGGTGGTGACCCGGCCTGGGGTAACTTTACTGGGTAAGATATGGAGCAAAACTGCTGCACAGGAAAACTCTTATCGGTACTCACCTACACAGGGAAAGAAGAAACTGATATGGCATTCATGTGTTTTGTTTTCAAGTCACCTACATTAAGGAAGAATAAACCGGATACATGGGCTTGCCTTCAAAATAAAAGCATAAATCAATCTGACCAATGAGATTGTTTTATGGTAGTATTTTGTCATAATTTAATTATTTAGATTTGATGTATAAAATGCAACATACAATTGTGAGAAAAAAGTTATATAAAACTTTATAATGAGTTTCATGCAGAATGGTGCTTTGTCGAAAATGTGTTTCTCAGCTGAAAACACACATAAAAAGACACACGTTGAAATAATAGCTGAAAACAGACGGTAAATATGTTTAAATAAAAAAAATGTCTGTGCATAAACTAGCCATAATTCAGAACAGTTATATTACATTTAAATAAACATATTATTAAGGTTTTAGATTTAGATTTACCATATTTGTTAACATTATAAACTGCAGCATTGTATTCTAAGGTGTAATGTTTAATTAGAGATTTATTTTGATAGTTCTAACCGGAAGTCATGCTGTCTGACTTCGCAGCAGTCTCTACAGGTTGGACACGTTGTGGTCGGATCAGATTTTGTTGTATCTACCTGGGAGCAGGTAGTGGAGCCCGCCTTCTCCCGGCTCTCAAATAAGTCCGCTTTGTTTACACTTTGTTGTGAGATTTTAATGAAAGAAGGAGGGTGAGCCGGACTGTGTACTTTGGCAGCGGATAAATAATTAACCTGGCAACTCAAGCAGTTTACAGAAGAGCTGACATGAGGAGCAGAGCCAAGCAGTAGCGGAGTGTGCCCCCCGTGCGCCTGTGTCTCGAGACTGAAAACAGGCCTACAGGTGTTTTTGTATTTCTGCTGTTTAATGCCATTTGACCTGGATACACTGCACTGTAATCATGCTGGGAGCCGAGGGCAGACTAGAGAGCCGGCTGGAGAAGCTGGAGTCCCTCATGAGGGATCCATTGTCGGGACTAAACTTGGAAACGCTACTGGTAAGTTTGATTTCCCTCTGTGTCTGATACAGGTGAGTCTTACTACTCAAATTTATGAGACACACTCTTACACGTAGCCCACATAGCTGTGCTCCGAGTTGTTGGTCTGTCATGATCAAAGATCACCTGAAAGGAAGTGTCCCGTGTCTCAGAGGACAGCTGGAGTAAACAAATCAAAGACCAGTTACACAATCTAAAAAAACACTTACTCATTGATGTTATTGTAAGAGTGAGGGATTACATCATCTTTACTGGATATGATAACAGCTTGTGAAAAGTTTAGTTGCCATTTGTTTATCATTACTTTAGCTTTTAGTCAGGAATCATGCAGTAGAAGGGGAAACCCCACCTAAACTATGTGTTGCCTCCTTTTCATGTGTTCAATGCAATCCTCACTGTTACGGTTAAAAGGGAAATTATAACAGGGGTTTATAATTATCCAATATTATGATACATTTCTAAAAGCGGCATTTAAGTGAATTTTCACTAACAGTCAGTGCATGCCCTGGATTCTAATTATTGTACCCATTCATTTTACCTAGTCACTTCATCATTGTATGTTTGTGATTAGTCTCTTGGTGTGGCCTCTAATTTGACGTGCCCTCTCTCTAACCTGTCCTAAGAATGTACTGGGCCAACTTTGTTGAAACATACTGCCACTGTTCAGCTTATCTGCCTCAACTTCTGTCAACAATTACACACTTTTGAGCTGATATGGAGCAGCTTTTGTTTGCTGGGCCTCTGTCTTGATAGTATTTCCCACCAGGCCTCAGCTCAGAACTTTCTTTACTTTGTAAGTGTGCACAAAGCGCTCTGGAAGTGAAAACATGTTCTAGTTTCCCTTCCAAACAATCCTGAGATACCTGAGGCCATTTTTTAGACTGGATTAACATGCTTTTCTACATGATCGTCACGCTTTCCCTCAACAAATGGAATAATCAATGTAAAAATGTTCTGAAAAATCCCTTTACTGTTAAATTTGTTGAGCTGCTTCATACTGGTTTTATATAGCAGGAAGCCACCAGCTGTGGTTGGCAGTCAGGTTATTCTCGGGAAATTTGGCACAAAGAAGAACACAGATTATCGTGGGATCATTATAAACATGTCAACCTATTGAACAGATGAGTCGGTTAAAGGGGATTTGATGTTGTGCATACTGGCTGTTTAAACAAAACAGCCCTGCATCTGCATATTTCCTGCTGGGGGACACCATGTCTATTCTCAGGGCTGATGAGTCACAGGTCCTGTGTAAAGCCAGAGCAGTCTCATGTCATTCAACGACAACAGATAACAATGTGAACTGATCCATTTTAGCCCACATCATCCCAAACTAACCAGTCATTATTCTCAGTCTTATTTCTAGTCCGCTGCATGTTGTTTCAAGCAGCTTTGTAGTGGTCCTAACAATGGCTGCCCAACGCAGGGAGCTGCCACACAGGAAGCTGAAGTCACACAGGAAGCTGAAGTCACATCCTGGAATTGAGATGGAGTAAACCTTCCATGACCTCACATCACTATTTCCTGTTTGTCCACAATCATCTTTGTTGTGTTGGCACAAAATATGTTTTTTTTTGGCATTTTGTTTATCTGTAGAGGATTTGATTCTGAGTCGATTTAAGCTTTTGAGAAGATAAGCTGTCGGAACTTTTTCTGTATTGCTTGTATTTCTTTTTTGATCAGCACGGCTTACATTTCGATTCGAAGAAGCTCTCCATTGTTGCTGACTGTGCTCAGGCAGTATCAGCTCACAGTGATGGGAGGAGGTGGGAGGTGTTGTCTGAGGAGGACACAACCAAACTCCAGGATCATGTTCAGATTTGTTTAGATTCCTGAAGAGAAAATCAAACCAGTTAGATCTCATTATTTTCTGCTCTAGCTGTTCTGAACCTTGCACTCTCGTTTAGATGACATGTGATGACTTGCTTGACTTAATTGACTTAATTGTTAATAAGTAGTTGATGTTATTAGCAAATAAGTCACACCTATCACAACAATCATGATAGAATAATGATGATATCAAGATAAAGAGCTAATACCTCTTTTTATCAGTGTAATACATGTATTGACATTAACCCCTTGGTATTCTGGCAATTCCTTCTTAATTATAGCAAGCTTCAGGTTATTCTTGGTCCAACATCCTTCCTCCAAGAAAAATTAGAAAGGGAACCCCCAGTCGTAGTTTGCTTACTTCACATGTGAGTTCTGATAAAAGCCCAAAGTATACAGTATGGTAAATAAAAGAAATCCTATGTTTATCAATTGTTAAGGCTGGAACTTATAAATCAGGCTGTGTTGGGGTTGCAGACAGGGGCTGCGTCTCACTTCGGTTAAATGGAATCCTTGTGTCCCTCACTTGCTTCGTTTCCCTGCGTCTAGTCCCTCCCACCAGGGAAGCATGGAGAGACGCAAGGAAACCACGAGAAGCAGGGAAATTAGTTTTAAGAGCAATGGGACGTCCTTTCCTCCGGAGCATCACGTGAAGCGACGTCCGTTTGTGATGTGATGGCAGCTGATCGTCTGACAACAGCCAGCTCTGTCCCCGTTATTTTCACAAACACCCCCACCTCTATAGGCTACACATTTACTGACACAAACATTTGTATCATCTGTTGTAGACCCAAATACATAAAATAAAATAAGAAGTCGTTCTCAAAAAAGATAAACGCCATTCTTAAAATGTATGAACGAACAATAGTTTGATTAATATTGATTAGAGTGCACAATAGAAATAAACTAATTGAGAGAAGAAAAAGTGATATGTTATCTATCAAAACCCAGTAAGATTAACATTCATTGGATTGTACACTTTGTTTGTTTGTGGGATATGTAGCAAATTAACATATTAAATAGCACTTAATGACTGACTGAATGGAAATGACAATAAATGAAAATGTAAAACGAAAAAAGCGATCATGAAAATGTTTCCAATAAATGAATAAAATGATTTTTGACCACTTTGTTGTTCAGATATATCACATATTTGTAACTAAATGATACATTAATTGAAACAAAACACAGTATAAACTGAGGAGTGAGTCCCGTGAGGTTCATGTGTTTTCTTCACTCCGCTGGGAAACTGCTCTCATTAGTGATGTGTCGGTCGCGAACCAGCCGGCTCTGATACCCCTTTCACACCAACGGTGTTTCAGGGCCGGTTCGGTGCTGGTGCTTGAAAAGCACCGGGTTTTCCTGTTCACACCGCAGCGGAGCAGCGTCATAGCTCCGGAATCCGGTTCGTTTCGAGCACCAAAAAGTTGTCCGTCTAGAAGCAAGAACCGCATACGTCACGCTTACGTCGGAGGGGGGGCGAGATTAACCTGAGCTAACACTTAAGGCGAGTACGGCAAATAAAAGTTGTAACAAGCAGTAGTGCTGAGCAAAGTGACTAGAACGCAACCACACACTTGTTAAAAAAAACACACTTTATAAAGTCAGGCAACACTAACGTGTGATTCTGTTTATTTGTACCTTACTTTGACCATCCGTTCGCTGTTATTGATCATTGTGGAGAGCAGGCAGACGTTTTGTTTGTTATTATAGCAGCTATCGGATGGAATCAATACATGGGCTGCACAGGTTGTCATGTCCGACTATCACAAGTAGAATCATAATGAAAAATACGTCGGTAAAAAGTGCCTGTAGAAAACTGCTTAGCAAGTAGTCAGTTTAGCTTCGGTTGCTATGCTAACATCACCCATGTTATACCAGAGAAACTTTCATAACAGCGTTGTGATGCCAAACAGCGTCAATTCAGACTGACACCAAACAGCGTCAATTCAGACTGACACACATTCACTTAAGGGGAACTGGGGATATGTATCAGCTGCTTGTGTGACAGTCAGACAGTGAATACTTTAGAGCCGTGTGAGCTAACCCGGAGCTAACGGGAGAATACACTCCCGTTGAAGAGCAGCCGGCCAGCACTGCAGCGGTCGGTAAATGCCGCTGAAACACATTAATAAACAATGAACCACGGCACTCTGGAGAAAAGTATAAGGTTGGAGAAGTCGTTATTTAATTTAATCTGGCTTCGTATGATTAAAAGCAACGCAGTCCCCGGCCCGTTGTTGTTGTGAGGTGAGCTCCGGCGTTGGGGAGAAACTCAGCGACGTAAACTGTGACGTCATGACGCAGCAGCGGCAGCACCAGTCGGGCTCTGAGCGGTGTGAAAAGAGCCGGCGCTAAACCGAAGAACCGGTTCTGAACCAGAAAAGCTCTAGCACGGAGCTTGAACCGGAGTTGCGTTGGTGTGAAAGGGGCATAAGAGCCGGCTCTTTTAAGTGAACGACGGGAGCTGGCTCGCGCCCGCGAACTAGCCAGGTAATTTTTACTTTTGAATACTTCAGTACAAAGGATGTATTGAATAATTTAAGTTATATATGTGTACACATATAAATCATTAGTCAAAACAGGGCTACATTTGATTGAATTATAAAAGGTATATTTCGCAGATAAACCTATTAACCCCGCCCCCTTAAAAAAAAAATCGGCTCTTTTGAACGGCTCTCGCAAAGGAACGGAGCCATAAGATCCGGCTCCCTTCAAAGAGCCATAATTCCCATCACTAGCTCTCATGTCAAGAAGCAACAGATCAGTGCATGCGCTGCATCGTCCAATCAGTGAGCGATACACAGTAAGGGGGTGGGGCGAGTGCCTGAGGATTTCACCGGAGGATGGTCTGGTGGTTCCTCGATTATCGCTCCTCCGTTATCGCTCCTCGATCCTCGATCCTTGGTCCTCCGGCACAAATAAGGCCACTGGGACGCTACTCAAGATGGCGCCGACAAATCAACTTCTGGTGATACTGAGACCGAGGAGCGAGGAAATGAAAAATAAGAGAAGTGAGACGCAGCCAGGGTTGGGTTCAGGAAGCTGGTCAAATAGGCAGATTTGATGAGCACATATACTTATAATATTCTTTTCATTAGTAAAGAGAAATGTACAAAACTCACCTATTGAGTGTATCACTCAACATTTGCAAATCAAAATGTTGTAATTTTTAATTGTGCAATGTTAACATCCATGTTTACCTGGTAGTCTTCTTCCTGACTGCCTCTGTTCTTGCTTCGCTGCGTTCATTTTGCATCCCTGCCAACTGTTGATAGTGCAATAGCGTAAAACCGGTATCGTGTTGACGGCATGTTTGTGTGTGTGCGTGCAGGTACGTCCTTGTGACCCACTTTTGAAACATAGCTCTGTAGTGTCACCAGTGAAGAAAAAAAAACCATTTAATTAAAAACTCCTCAGGGTTCCTTTTAGCTATCTGTCCAAACTTGTTTTTAGATCTGATGATATAGATATCTGTGTTCGCACTTGTTCGTTTGTGACAGATTTGACAAGGAAGTAAAACGTTTTTGAAATTCATTATTAGATTTAATGCTGGATTTAGAGTTGGTACAGAGCTCCAGCATTGGTGGCAGACTCATTTTTAACTCTTTAAACATTTACATGTATACTCCTATTTTCTGTTCCAGGTGATTTAATAAAAAATGGGCACGTTCAGCCTTAATGTTTCACAAACGGATTTCAGATACAAGGTAGCATGACAAGATGCAGCAGCCCAAAAAAAAAGTAGCCCAAGGCACTCCAAAAGCTTAATTTGAATCTGCTATAATTAGGTATAATTTACATATGTACATAGAGTTCAACATTTCTCGCAGTCTGTTGAGTTCCCTTGCTACTGCAGTTACCATGGCAGTTACAACACACACACATGGTATAAAATGATCACAGATCCTAGAGCGCTCAGCATGAATCCAGTACCATAAGCTGTTTGTCCCACAATAACTTCTGAGCCTTTTGGTCTATTTCTACCCGTCTGTGGTGGGGGAGATCTCTCCGCACCGCTGCTATTTAAAGGTGCAGAATTGTTCCACATGCCCCTGCCCACCCACCCACACGTCCCCGAACAAACAGACACAGCTGTGGCTCTACCACACACACACTGGATGTCTCTACTTGACCCTTGTTTCTGGGGAACTTAGGGTCCCCCCCCCCCCACACCTGCCCTGCCAGCCTCATGCGTTTGAATCAAAGAGACATGGTGCCTCTAAGTGAAACTCTACACCGCTGATCTGAGCGCTGATGGCACTATTGAGGCCGCGGCTCTTAGTCTGCCGCTGCCCTGTGTTAAGCCATCGGGAGGGGTTTGTGTGTGTTAAGATGGATCTGTGTTTGGGCAGGGGGCTGCAACAGCACCGTGTGACTAGTTATTGTTGTTCGACTTGTTATGTCTTTACAGCAAACCTCCATTGTCCTCCTTGTCCTTGTTTTGTTATGCGGCACATTAGCAGTCTAATTTTCTCTTCCCTTTTAATGTTGCATATTGGAGCATGCAGCCTACAAGAATGTAATTCCTTCCTTCCTTCTTTCCTTCCTCCATTCATTCAGTTATCTTTTTATCAGCCAGCAGAAGGTCAGGATTGCCTTACAAGACTTCTCCTGACAGACTAAAGAAAGACTCGTAACAACATATATGCCCTTCCCCAGAATAAACAAATCAGCTTGAAAACATGACTATACTTAGATGTTTCTCTTGTTGTTAGTTCAGCAAAACCCAAGCAATAATAAACCCACTTTCTTTTTACAACATATTGATTAAAATGGGAGGTATGAGAGTGACATTATTAGATAATGTGTTACTAGACCAAAGGTAGAGCTTTAAAAATCCATACTTTGTTTCTGTTCAATTGTTTGTTTCAAGTTAACCCAATGTTTCGTCTTTTCTGTGTTTCAGGATTCCATGAACGCGCTGGCTCATGATCTGAATTATCCTGCCCTGAGGAAAAACAAAAACATAGAGGCGTTTCTGAGCCGATGTAAGAGCTACAGTGTGTTTGGTGAAGGTCAAGATTCTCGTGCTTAGCTTGAAAAATGCCTATAAAGTTGGAAAATACAAAACAGATCACTCTGGTCACGAGGAACGGAGTATATGTTTCTTGTTTGTCATTGCCCACAAACTAGTTTAAACGAGTTAAAACTTGCCACCTTGTATCAAAGTGTTGTGTTTACAGTAGTTGTTGTTTCAGCTAAAGGTCACAGAAAAGATAAGAAACATGAATAAACACCTCTGTAGCATGATTTGGTATTCAAATCAACTGCTGTTCAGCCCTGACAGATTTTATAGCCAAAAAATCGCTAAAAGTTAGTTCAGTCAGACAACTCACGTGTTTCTTAATATGTTTATTATAAGCAGCATATAGTTTGAGTTTGGCGTCTAGGCTCAGGCCTCATCACTCCACAGATTTACAAAGAACATTGAGTGATGATTAGATAACTATCCCCCGAGCCTACAGGTGGAAGCTGATGGGGTGGAGCTGGGGTGGTGGTGGGGCAGGCGAGCAGCAGCAACATGAAACACAGCAGCAGGAACATGAACGTAGCAATAGCAAGTGAACACAGCAGTGGCAGCAGCAGCATAGCGAGGCAGAGGCAGGAAGACCTGGCAGCTTAAATAGAGCGGCATGTTTAGGAGAATGTGTTTGGTTGTTTGTAAGAGGGACGAGGTGCGTCACATGTTAATGTATCATTGGTGCTCGAGTTGACTGCCTGAACTAGCTCGCAGGCTTCGCCCCATATATGTGTCACTTTTGTACAGACTTTTTTGCTTAATCAATTTGTTGTGGAATCTGTTGCTCTTTACTCTGTTTGAACTTAAAACAAAGACATTACCATCATGGGTCAACCTGTGGCTAAAATGTGTCTTATGTAAGATAAAATAAATACATCGGCATGTCCTCCAACCCCAGTACTATTAACCTGTCTTTCTCTTCTAAAAATACTGTGGGTTTAAAGGGGCTCTATTATGCTTTTTGGGGTTTCAACATTTAAAATAAAGCCCTTTTGGAACATTAAAGCATGTAAACATGTCGCAAAATAGGCACAAATAAAAATGTGATCCTGAAAATTAGCATAATAGGGCCCCTTTAAAACAGCACTTTTGACTGGTCTAACTTTACATTTTCACTTTGGTCAGTCGAGAAACATTTCTGTCCCTGTGCAAACTTTTTGACGCTAAATTGTTGAAGCTTGACCTGTGTGTTGCCATAGTAACACGTCTATCTTTCCTGCAGATGAAAAGGCAGCGAGTCAACTCCGAGAGCTGCAGGTGAAGCTTGAAGACTTCGACAAAGTGAAGTTGATCGGAAAAGGAGCCTATGGAGAAGTGCGACTGGTGAGAAGTCTTTGTCAATAAATAAACGGTGTTATTATTTTAATTATGCTGCAGTGGTGCTGTGTGATATTAAGGGGAATTGAGCAGGAGCAGATAAAGATCAATTCAGCCATTTTAGCACCAAAATACCAGAAATATGAACCACTAGAGGGAGCAACAATCTTACTAATCTACCAAAATATGCAATATGTAACATCTGCAACATGTTGTTGGTGTTCCAAGTATAATTGCCACCTTTCTCCTCATCATGGCCTTCATTATGTAAAAAAAAAAAAGTAATTAGGGCAAGCAGTAAGTCCTTGCAAAGCCCCAGTTTATCCAGATGCCTGTCTCTGGTGCTGGTGGAAGCTTGAATCTGGTCTCTGCTGAGCGTCTTGTGGTAGAAACGAGTCTGGACAGGCTCAGTGTGTGGGAGGGGAGCGTGAAGCCTGGTGTGGGGGTTTGGAGGGGATGCTTCGTGTGTTTGTGTTTGAATTCTTGTGTAAGCATGTCTTTCTAAGGGTGTGTGCCTTTGATTATGGGTTCCCCTCTCTCCCTCTGTTCCATGTTATCTATGGTCATTAAGACACTCTTACTATCTGGTTCTGGTTGTCTCTGCGCAGTTATCGCTGTTTACACGTCAACGTCCCCTCTCTTTTCTTTGTCCTCCTCGGCTGCAGGTTCGTCACAAGGCCTCTCGAAAGGTTTACGCCATGAAGCAGCTTAACAAGTTTGAGATGATAAAGCGGTCAGACTCTGCCTTCTTCTGGGAGGAGAGGCACATCATGGCCTTTTCCAACAGTCCATGGGTCGTACAGGTGGGCTCATTCACAGGCTTTTATTCTACTGAAATCACAAAATGTGAAACATAGTGTAAGGATGAAACATTTAACCATGACAGAAATAAGCATGTGCTCTGTCACACGCCCTTCTTACAATGAAGACCCTAAAGAGTGTTTAGATAAATGTTTGACCCCTTTGTGAATACACACAATACAATTTGTATCATGCTTAAGATAGTTTACCAAATATAATTAGAATCGTTTAAAGGGGACCTATCATGCAAAATGCACTTTTGTACGTCTTTTATACATGAATATGTGTCCCCGGTGTTCCAGGGAACTCACCAAGTGTCAGAAAACACAACCCTCTCTATTTTCCTCCATACCCAAATCTCTAAAAAAGGGGCTGCAACGGATCTGATAAAAACTGATCCAGATTTGAACACTGTCCTGACGTCAGGACAGTGGCGCTACGGCTATTGGGCCAACTCCACCAATCAGGAGGAGACAGCCACGGCCATTGCCGTTCGAAAGCGCTGGAGACGCTGTAGTACATATGCCAGGCCTGTAGATGGTGCTGTTCTCACAGAATCTGCCCTTGCAAAAACAGAGCTAAAAAATGTCAAATTGAGCAAAATGAGGCATGGCTAAAATGCATGATCTGTTTGGTATTTTGAAAAAAAAAAAGTATAAATATGCCTTATATAGGTATGGTCCTACACTATATTATTCAAATATAGCATGATAGGTCCACTTTAAATATTCAGTCTGGTCCCCCTGTCTGCTTAAGTTTTGTTATGATTTTTATTTAAAACTTCTGTATCCCCTGTCTTTCCAAATGACTTGCGTAGTTCACTTCAAGAGAAAGAGAAGATTTAGCAAATACACCAAATTGGCTAAATATTAATTCTAGCCATCAAGCCATCGTGTTTTGTTTTTATTGTTATTCATTAAACCTATTCAAAGCATGTTATTGAGATAAGAATTTGTACTTTCTTACACAGTTGAAATGTTGATTCTTCAAAGATTGGCATCAAGATTATATCTATTGCATTTGCTGTTTGATTACTCTTTTTATATCATCAATATTTGCTTCATATATGTCATTGGGGCAATGAAATTAGAAATCTATATATAGAAATATATTGTTTTATTTCCAAATATTTTCCAAAAAGCAAATGTTATCATTAAACATCGCTATGCCTGAAATGTGGCCATAGCAGTCTTTTAAAAATAATGTCATTATTATAATATATTCCTAATTTTATTTACTCTAGTAAAGTAATATACTATCTCATTATTTTTCACATGATTAATAACCTTGTGATGTGATGTTGGCATCTAATTGGAGTTAGTAGTCCATAACAGTCTGTTTTATCTGAGTCACAAATCATCCAGAAACAACAAAGCCACTCCTTGTAGTGTAGTCTGTATCAAAGTAATGGCATGACATCTCAAGTTGGAATTTCAAGCACATTAAAAGTGACCGTGTTTATCGTGCCCTGCAGCTGTTCTGCTCTTTCCAAGACGACCGCCACCTCTACATGGTGATGGAGTTCATGCCCGGAGGCGACCTGGTCACGCTCACCATGAACTACGACATACCTGAGAAGTGGGCTGTTTTTTACACGGCTGAAATAGTGCTGGCGTTGGACGCTATCCACTCCATGGGCTTCATCCATCGAGATGTGAAACCTGACAACATGCTGCTCGACCAACACGGACACCTCAAACTGGCAGATTTCGGCACGTGCATGAAGATGGACTCGGTAGGTCACCGTGTTAAAGGTGTGGTGTTGTTTCCAAATGTCTGGGACCTGGATAAGAGATAAGGTTGTGGAAATAAGAGCATTTTTGACTTTTTAGCTCTTTCATTTTGATGAAAACCGGGATTTGAATATAGATTGAATGTTCTTTTCTGTCTATAAATACTGGTGGCCTTTTTGTCATGCCCTAGTGCACCACCAAGTGTTCAGGTTGCAAAGTGAAGCTCAATCTGGCATTCTTGCATTTGGTTGTTTTAAAAAGGCCCCAGAAGTTATTGTGCGAAACATACAATCTAGAGAACAACAGATGTCCCGCCTCTGCTGTGAGTCAGGAAGTTTTGCTCCAGCTTTTTTGTTTTGACCACAGCCATTTCTAAATAGCAGGTTCAACAAGTGGCTGCACACATTTGAGCTCTCTGAAAGTCTTCCAGCAGGCAGACAGTGTCACATAAACATTTTAGTCTCAGAATATCTAGAGCATTGTTAACATTTTTGAGATATTTTAAACAAGAACATTTTTTGAGAGGTCATTAAAAAGAGTAACGTGTGTTGTGGTCATGGTTCCTGCATCATGTCTGTGGAAATATGTTGCATCTATTCTGTCCTCTCACTGAAATTCTTGCTTTCTCCCTATAGTTAACTGTGTGTGTTTTTGTGTTTACAGACAGGCATGGTGCACTGTGACACAGCTGTAGGCACGCCGGACTACATCTCCCCCGAGGTGCTTCAGTCTCAGGGCGGTCATGGTCACTACGGCCGTGAGTGCGACTGGTGGTCCGTAGGAATCGTTATCTATGAGTTGCTAGTCGGTAAGTGACTCGCCATATTCATCATGATCGTTTTTATACTGTTTGGCAGTTAAAATCCCACACATTTCCATCCAAACAATCTATTTGTTGTGAACTCCTTCTCTCCCAGGTGATACTCCCTTCTATACGGAGTCCCTGATTGGAACATATGGGAAGATCATGAACCACAAGAACTCCCTCGTCTTCCCAGAGGACAAAGAGATGTCTCAGGGCGCCAGAGACCTCATCTGTGCCTTTCTTACTGACAGGTTCGCACATGTCATATAAATCATATAAACTAATAACACTTTAACAACAATTCAGAGTATTTCTTAACTTCAGGCTGCCTATGACTATGGAGTAATGCAGTGACATTGTTTGGACCATGTGAGTGAATATGACACTTCATCTCTGTTACCTACCACTGAATTCACACCGGGCTGTGGTCGCCCATTTGGGATGAGCAACGGCTTAAATAAACAGTGTTAGAATTGTGTTAGCTATGATAAAACTGACAAAAATCACCTAGCACAACACGTTGCACAACCCTTCGTTAGTACATGGTGTCATTAGACAGCTGGGCACTGTAGCTTTTAACACATGTGTAAAACAACAGTATTCAGTGTTAATTTTAATGAAGAAAAATGAAACCAGATTAATATTTTTTTAGAGGGAAATGGAGAGCTATGGTGGAGTTACTCTAAGTCAAGATTTGGTTAAACAATCAACTCTTGTTTGTAGGATTGATTCATGGTTGTTTGTTTTTTTCCATTGGATTTGTTGACAAAAACCCCAAAATATAATATTGCCAGAAAAATACTTTAAATAAAACTAATATTAATCATTAATCAGTTTGCGTAAAACCATATCAGCAACTTCTGTCCGGCTAGTGCTGATCCCAGCAACCATAGTGCCATTTTGACATGTGTCATCAAATATTATTATTAAAACGCGAGTGTGACGGTCATGTACCACTTCCTGTTTACATTAGTAGCCCCGCCCCCGAGTGGACTCAAACACAGGCCCATTCTGCTTCAATACAGAGCGTCCTTTCATTTTTCCTCACTCAGTGTATTTACCTTCTCACTCACCATTCTCTCACCACAGACAGAATCTCACATGTGTGAGGCTGCCCAGCAACACACACACACACACACACACACACACACACACACACACACACACACACACACACACACACACACACACACACACACACACACACACACACACACACAGCTTGAACACTGACCGATACATGAATTCACCACTTAACCAACATGCTCTGTCACTGTCCTGCTGAGTCACTCCTGTAAGCACACCTCCTTCCCTTCTTTTCCCATGTGTTTTTCATCAATCCTCACGTATAATTCTCTCTCTTCTACCTTCTCTTGGTGCCACTTTCTGTTTCTCCATCCTTGTCCTTCTCTGGCGTAGCTTTTCTCCTAAACACTCATGCAGTTTTCTGGGCATGAGACATGGCCTGTTTTTTTTGCGGAGGTTTAAAAGCGTTCTCCCTCCCCGCCCCTGACCTCTCTTCCTCTTGGCTGGGTCTGGAATGTCCCACACGTGGCAAGCCCAAACTGCCGCACCCCTCCGGCCCTGTACCCAGCTCTGGAAGAGGGAGGAAAGGGGGGCGAGAAAGAGAGACTAAAAGTGTTAGTAGACTTTTACAGAGAGAGAGAGAGAGAGGAGAAGGAGGGAAGTCAGCACTAGCAGTCAGTGTTTGAGTCAGTGAGAGTTGTTGATGTTGGCTCCTGTGCTCTGATCCTGCTGTCACTCCTCTCCTCTTGGATCTACATTATCTTGGGTTGGAGGAGGTTCCAGTGTCCACCAGCGGTCATACAGCAGTCCATGCTGGTCAGTGTGGTCAGCGCCTAGTGGTCTCTCTGCTTGCCTGTGTTTTCGGGGTGACATGTTGATGGTGGGTGGAGTGGACGAGCGGGGTGTGTTTTGTGTTCAGTCTCTGCTCACACTCCTGTCCTGTTGTTGTGTGCAGGGAGGTTCGTCTGGGTCGCACCGGAGTGGATGAGATAAAGTGCCACCCTTTCTTCAAGAACGACCAGTGGACCTTTGACAACATCCGAGAGAGTAAGTGTGTGCAAGTTTAGAATATTGTGTTTTTTTGTATTCCCTACAATGCAGGTGCAGACTTTTCCATTTCTGGAAATGTACTTCCTTTTCCACCATTCATGGCCATTCCTCTATTGCTTTCTATGTTTGGGTATACTTCTTATCATCTCTCGCCCATTCCTCTGCAGATATGCGTCTTTTCAGCCTGAGTTCATAGTTTATTTCCATCTCCTCAGCCATTAGGGCCTGCATATATGGTCTACATGCTCTCCATATCTTTTAATTATATTGCTGAATGCTGTACAGAGCAGCAGAAAACATGATGCACAGAACCTGCGGGATAACCAGCTGCATACACTCCAGAAGAATAGCTCAGAGACAGATGAGAAAATATCAAACACAGCTGATTTGATTCTAGATAGTACCCATATTAGCATACGCAGTGATAAAACTGAGATGCTCAATTTAATAAAAGTCTCAAACAATGAAGAATACAGTATGTATAGTCCTTCTTAAATTCATTTATTTTAGATATATAAAAAAGAAAAACAAAGAAAGATGAAAGACATTGACCAATCTGGGTCAACAAACAAATCACCTTAATCATTAATTATGACATCCATTGGTGGTTATGTTATTAAGCTCAAACTTTACTGTATTCTTTTAAATATTGAAGCTCATTTCCCCTTATGAAGTTGTATCAGAGTCAACATCACTGAAGAAGGAAGGAAGGAAATAAGGAAAGAGATATATATATTGGAAATATGAACAGGACCCCTGTGTATGTATATAATCACATACAGGCTCTTTCTCTTGTGCTTCACCTGGCTTTGATTAAGACAACAGACACAACTCCTGACTGAACTCCAGACTGGCTGGCACTGTGTAACACAAAACCACCGCTGTGCCACTGTCACACACACACACACACACACACACACACACACACACACACACACACACACACACACACACACACACACACACATACACATACACATACACATACACATACACATACACATACACACTCCTGCTCCCAGTCTGGCATCCCGCAGAGCTGCATTTACCTCCTAACCCTGTGTGTCTGATTTCTTTACTCCCTGCTGAGTGTGGCCATGTTTTCCATGTTTGGACTCTATTGAAGATTCCCCCAGTTGTCTTCATGTTTGTAGAGATGATTAAGCAGTGAGAGGGTGATGAAATGAAGCCGGATGGATGGATGGATGGATGGATGGATGGATGGAGGCAGCACCCCTGTAGCGGCGGGTGGGGCAGGCAGTGTGGCCTGTGTGGACTGCTTTAATGAGAGGGGAGCCCCAGTTTGGAGTATTGCTCCCGCTCTCTCACTCTCACTGTGGCCACGGCTGCCTGTCATTAGCCGCCCGCTATCAGAGAGCATTCTGGGAAGTCGTGCCACAAGGGCCTCCATGGAGCGTCCCTGTGTCTCTTTCTGTCTCACCACATTTTAGCATTTCTTTTTTTTCTGCCTCTTCTTTTTATTTACCCCTCATTTGTTTCCTTCCTGTGCTTGGGATCTCTCCCTGTACGTTCTCCTCCATGTTTGAGTCACATTTGTCACCCTGAGGGTTAGGGTTAGGGTGACTTGACCTAACGGTAATGAGCTCTTTGCTCAGAGCCAGAATTGCACTGGTGTGAGGAATTTGATCCATAATGGCAGCTTTTTTTCTCAATAAGGAACTATTTATAGGTTAAAGGACTAGCTTAGTTTTATCTGATTGGCTATTTTGACACATTCTTGTCTGCCTGTTGTGTTGTGCAGACTTTTGTGAGGTACGCCTGCTCTCTTCTCACCGGAGCTGGCTAGGTTTGTGAAAGGCACCGTGTGTGGGGCACAAAGCGAGCACTGTGTGGGAAAAGGAGTGGTGTCAGACTCACGCCAACCTGCAGAGAGCTTACTTTACTACAAGTAGAGCTATACATGGAATATTATTTACTCACAAACACCTGAAAAATGTTTAGAGTCTGTTCAATATGTACTGTAAATTGAAATATCTGTCTCGCCAGATTTTAATCTTTAAATTTGTGTCAAAAACATTGTTATTTTTTCTCGACCCCTCTTAACCCCTTTTGCTTTGCACCTCCTCCTCTCCCTCCTTTCTCCATGACTCTCTCTCTCTCTCTCTTTCTGTCGTCCAGCTGTGGCTCCAGTTGTGCCTGAGCTGAGCGGCGACATCGACACCAGCAACTTTGACGAAGTAGAGGTTGATAAAAAGGATGTCGAGACCTTTCCTCCACCCAAAGCCTTTGTGGGCAACCAGCTGCCATTCATCGGCTTTACTTACTTCAAAGAGGACCAGTAAGTGTTCAATTCTGACAAAGTATTTCACGTTGTCGCTGTTGTTGTGCCTGGAAATTGTTGTCTGGATTGCTGATATTTTTGATAGTACACTTTGGTAATTTAACACAATCAAAATGTAGCTCTTTTTGTGTGGGAACTTTAATATGTACTAGTCTCAGAAAGCAGGGTTAAGGACAGCACTGTGCCTGTAATGCAAGAGGGAGAAAAGACAGCTTCACACCCTTACCTTTAATACAGCCTTACAGCAGTCAGACACTGTATGCCTGTTCCTGCTCCACACTGCAGCCTTGTTCTGACAGCCCCTTTTTAAATACCTTTGCTTATGATGGAGTTTTTTAACCACTGCTCTCTTTTGGTTGCAGAAGTAGTCAAAAAAACGTAGCAGATTTATGATCCTACTGTGCTTTTTTCAGCATTTTTTAAACCTCGAGTTATGTTTTTGTAAGGCTTTATTCATACAGCATTCAACTGATTGTGTGCAAGCAATTTATTCTTTTCCATGAATCTGACAAAATGGAGACAAGGGCAAACGATGACATTTAAGTCAGTAAATGACCATCAATCAAATGTATACGGCCGCTGGTAGAAATTACGAATACATTCTTGATAATACATGAATGATGAGCAAGCAATACAAAAAAAAAAGGCTTGAGGTCAGCATTTCTGTTGGCTGTATGTATGCATCCATTTCCATTTTTAGAATTATGAACACAGGCAAAATCTGTCTTAAAAAGATTGTGCCAAAAAAATGGCTTTACTTTGTCATTATGAAGCCATGTGGCAGAGTCATGTAATGGTTCCCAGGGATAGAGATAGTTGCCCACCATGACTAGTCCACCACCATGTTGGTAAACAGTTGGCAGACAGTGTGGGTTTGGGTTTCTCCAAAGGTAAACTAATCCAGATGAGGAAGTTTAAAATATCCTCATTCCTTCCTGCTTGTTCTTCACAGCACCACAGTGTTTTGCTTAATGCATGAATATAATAATGCAATACATTTGGCGAGAATATTGAGTTTCCCATGAGAGCCCAGTTGGCCTAATGGATCTGGTTTGGATTAAATGCGTCACTTGGTTGTAGAAATGTGGACATGTGGGTAGTCTTGGATGCTGTTGGGGCTGGAAAGGCTCCACAAGTGATCTCAGCTGAAGACATTAACGGTTCTCCACTTCCTTCTTTATCTGTCAGGCTGCTGAAGGTAAATAATAACTGCTCTGTGGAGGATTCAGAGGAGAGTAAGGAAAACTCTGAGGAAAAGGATCATTGCTCGGACAGTAAGAAAGAGGTGGGCTTCTTGTGAATGTTGTCTTAATATTATGGTAAAAGAGGGGATCTAAAATCAAAGATGGAAATGGCTCTTAGCTAATATCATTTTGATTCTCTGTCTGTCCGAGCAGCTGCAGAAAAAGCTTTATCAGCTGGAGGAGCAGGTCGACCATGAGATGCAGGCCAAAGATGAGCTGGAGCACAAGTGCAAGTAAGACAGATAACAATAATGAACTAACATGATACGTAATACTAACTCCGACATTATAAACATGTTACTACATGATGACAACATTTTTAAAAGGTAGAATTAAAGTGATAATTTCCCCATGCACTTAGACATTCTATAATATAGTATAATCACTAAATTGGATTTCCTGCTTGTGTTGTTGAAAGCAGAAAATGTTCTTGAATGCTTAACACAATAAGAAGTGACATCCCACAGAGATAGAGTTTTGAGACTTTCTCATAATGGACAATGTTGAAAGAAAGAGAAAATAAAATCACTTTCAACCATAATTAAACGAATAGTACCATTGTTATAGTACTCTTTATTCAATGATTCGTGGGAAGAAGTCTGTAATAAAACTGTTCTTTCTTTCCCAGAAATGCCAACAACCGTTTAGACAAGCTTGTGGAAGAGTTAGACGAGGAGGTGAGGATGGATTGATCCTATTTAATCCATATACATGTGATAAAGTACTTCATTCCACTGACGCTCTGTGATTTCCCCCATTAGATGAGTAGCAGGCAGAAAGTGGAGGCCTCGCTGAGGCAGCTGGAGCGAGAGCGAGCGCTGCTGCAGCACCAGAGCGCTGAAAACCTGCGCAAGGTGGATATGGAAGCGGACAGGAAACGCAACCTGGAGAACGAACGTGAGCACCTGGGGAATATCAAATCTGAACATTGAGGCATGAAACTCCCCAAAAGGATCAATAAATGCATTTCTTATTCTTAAATGCAATGGTATTTTATCATACGCAGAAAATATTGCTGACAGAATCCATGTAGGTCTTAATTTGTTCTAATTTTCATATATTTCACTTGCAAAATAGGTCTCACATAGCAGTCTGACTCCTACAGTTGATCATTAAACATTTTAATTAACCACAAGGATATATGGGAGCTCCACATACCAGTGTTCCTTTCACAGTATATATGGTTTTATGTGCTGGCTATTAGTGGGTGGTGTATTCAGTATCTTCTGAATGTGTTATATCACATACTGCATTAACTCTTTTATGTATCGGTATCGTCAGTGAACCTTCTGAGGGACCAGCTAGAGGATCTTAGGAAGAAGAACCAGAATTCCCAGATCTTCAATGAGAAGAACATCGAGCTGCAGAGACAAGTGAGGGGGAGCCTTTAACTCCAGCTAACTTAAATATGTTTTAAATTGCTTCACTGTAGGATACAGAATGTAAATCAAATATTCTAATGTTATAATCCATGTTAAAGCAAGAAACGGTTTGCTTTATTCCTCTGCTTTTCCCTCATTTAAATCCCTTTTAATTGTGCTGCTGCGCTGACCCAGTTTAGCCTGCAGGGAAAAGTTTCATCCTTCCTGTTTCTGGTCTGTAGCTCGAGGAGGCCAACGCCGTGCTGCTGGCTGAGCAGGAGGCGGCAGCGCGGCTGAAGAAGAGTCAGGCAGAGGCGCAGAAACAGTCTCAGTGCCTGGAGCTCAGCCTCAGGGAGATGCAGGAAAAGTGCAGCCAGCTCGAAAACGGCAAGCAGGAGCTGGAGAAGCAGCTGAGGGGGCTGCAGGCCGAGCTGGAGGAGGAGAGGAGGGGCTGCAGCATCGGGACCGAAACTATTACTGACCTGCAGGGTGAGACTTGGCTTTTAAACTCCACCTAAGCTTAACGTTTAAGCTAACTACTAAACATTAAAAATATATCTGTCTTTTGTTGCTACATTGACTGCTTTGTAACAAAAGTAACATTGTCTAAGTTAAATAGTCCATTGGAACTAGGGCTGCCCAAAGTGGGGCCCATGGGCCAAAGTTGGCACACAGGTTTTTAAAGAGGCCCTATTATGCTTTGGGTGGTTTGCCCTTTCCTGTAGTGAGTTATGTAGGTTTTCGTGCATGCCTCAAAGGCTGAAATCCCCCCCCCCCCCCCCCAGTTTGAGTTTATATCACACACCCCCATGCCTTCATTGGACTACTTTGTTTACTTCCTTTGTTTACTTCCTTTACTTCACTATGTAACACCTGCGCTTCTATTGGCTAGCGCTCCAATACATTGTATGGGTAAAGTTTAGGATCGGGACATCCCTAGGCGGTTGACCAATCACAACAGAGCAGGACAGCTAACCGATCAGAGCAAACTGGGCTCTGGTTTCAGACAGAGGGTGAACAATCTAAAATAGGGGCCATTTATGAATGCTTTTAAAATGTGTCGGGTTGCCAAATGATCTTGATATTTTTCATAATCTGAACTTGGGGGGCAAAGGAAGAAAATGGTGAGACAGTGGCACAGAGACAAAGATATTACAATTAACTTTGGATCTAGGAAACATAGCATCCATTTGTATTTTAACAACGCAATAGAGTACAATAGTTGTGTGCTTTTTGGCCTGTGGCCCGATATTAAGCTTCAGTTTTGGACCCCCCCCTGACACCTACACAACGTCTGCCCACAGTCTTTATTTAGATGAGCAAATCAAAAATACTGTTGAAATGTGGTTACCATTATTTTTTGCCAACCATTATTTACAAGCCTTCTATCTTCCAAACTCAAATGCATTGATTAAAATGTTATGAGGTTTGCAATATCAGTCAGAAAGGTTAATTCACTGCGATAACTGCAGGTAATCAAACTGTGATCTTTATTCAGTAAACATCTCCACAGTAGCAGGAAAATTGGCCTTACACAACTTGGAGCTGGAGGCTTGGTATTAGATGTGAATCATTTTTGGACCGGGCCTTGGGAAATATCAGATCATAGGTGGAAACATCTATTCAAAAGGCCGAGAGTGAAGCCAGAGGCTGTGAAAGCCAAACACGGAGCAGAGCCAGCACCTCTTGTGAGACGATGTTTGGAAACGTACACGTGCACACGCACAGAGAGTCCAGTCGATGAGGTTAGAGGGGACACAGTCAAACAAAAGTGTTGCCTGTTTGCTGCGATGCCTCGTGCTTTTTTTCCTAGTAACACTCTCCATGTGGGTGGAGTTAGTTGAAGGAAAATAAACATTAAGTGTTTTTGTTTTTCACACTTTGGAGACTGAACCTGTGCTGAAGTATTTCATATCTTACCTAGAATATTTTTAGTTTGAAACTGAGCAGTTCAGGTGCATTTTCTTGTAGTGTTTACTCTCACTGGAATACATGTATTCCTTCTTTAATTTCCTTATTTCAATCCACCTCAGGACGCATCTCTGGCCTTGAAGAAGAAGTAAAAGAGGTGAAGTCCTCTGTTTCTAAGGTCCAGACCGAAAAGAAGCAGCTACACGACAAGCTCAACGATCTTGAGAAGGTTGGTTGTTATTTTCCTATTTATTTGCTCATTTAGAATTAAGGTTAGTCAAATAAATATTCCTCCTTGCAATCTTCATTTTGACGTTTCTAGATAACATTGACATTGTTTTCCAGCTTTTTAAAAACGTACCATTTCCTGTTCCCATGCAAGTTATTACAGTACAAATAAATCCTATGTATCGGTAGCCATTAAAAGACTGTATAATAACCCCTTTGAATCCATAGGAGAAGAGCAACCAAGAGATCGACCTGACCTTCAAGCTGAAGTCGCTCCAGCAGAGTTTGGAGCAGGAGGAGGCCGAACACAAAGCCACCAAATCCAAGCTCGCAGATAAAGACAACATCTACGAGTCCATCGGGGAGGCAAAGTCTGAGGCCTTAAAAGGTGAGCATTAGGAAGAAGAAATATGATGCATCAGCATGTGTTCAGGAGATCAAATTGCGTTTTACTTAGCTCATCGTATGATAGATGAAAAGTGGCTGTAAAAGAAACAATACATCACTTATAAAAGATGAATGAGTGATTGATTAAGTAGACCTTGAGAAACAAACTAAAACATCCTGGCTTTCCAATACAATACACTGCCCTCTGATTGTCCTCCTGAACATTTATCTGGTGCTCCAAGCTGTTTTAAACAAAGACAAAAACTAATTGTTTTGTCAATACCGTGGTATTGAGTGCAGGGTGGATTATCCCCTGATGGATTTCATGGTTGTTTTGATTCAGAGATGGAGTGCACTCTGCAGGAGGAGAGGAGCCTGAAGCTGCAGGTGGAGGCGAAGCTGCTGCAACAAGAGAAGGCCCACTCCATGCTGGACTGCGACTACAAGCAGGCGCAGCAGAAGCTCAACGAGATGCAGGCGCAGAAGGATAAACTTTCTCAAGAGGTTAGTCCCAGTATTAATGAATTAATCACTTTATAGAAGGTAAAACATATATATATTTTTTTTAAATATATTTATTGAATTTTCACAGGGTAACACAATCAAGAAGGAGCATGATACCAATATGTACCCCCTTTTTTTCCACTTATCCCAAACACAGAACACATTCTCTCCACACATGCAATCAAATAATAAAAAGTATAAATAAATAAATGACATCAAAGAGAAAAGAGAACCATTTTTTTTTAATAATAATAAATAAGTAAAGAAATCCCAAAAATAAATACATTATATAAAGAAAATTACAAAGACAGTACAACAGTAGAAGGGATATACAGATGTGTACACTGAGGGTGATAAGACACAACAATTACATATTCAAGTCTTGTTAGACATTGTAAACTATATGGAAATAAGCCTTGAGATCTCCGTCCATGCTTGGGCCCCCTCATCTCCATTGTAGTCCAGAAAAGGGTTCCATATGTGAAAAAAGTTAAAGCGTTTGTGTAAAACCATTTTTGAATACTTCATTTCATAATTCTTATACAAAAACACGTTATTTTGTGGATAGTTGCAGCTTTCCCTAGCACATTTCTCCAAGTCCATTCAGATTATTGAACTAATGTTATGACATTTTGTACTCTTTTTCAATGGGCATTTATCCTTATTTTGAAAAAAAAAAGAATTTGATTATTACATAACTAATATAAACATTACTTGCAGCATCTGTTCTCCACATTTATCACATAACTGTCATTTAGTGCCAAAACTGAAAATGCTTGTGTTTGTGCAGGTGAAGAGTCTGAGCCTGCGTCTGGAGGAGGAGATCCACAAGCGCAGCATGACCCAGAGCGATCTGAAGATGCAGAACCAGCAGGTGTCGGTGCTCAGCTCCTCCGAAAAACAGCTCAAACAGGAGCTCAACCACCTGCTGGAAGTGAAGCAAATCATGGAGAAACAGATCCAGGAGCTACGCAGGTCAAACACGCATACTGAGCATAATGCACATTGAGCACACACACACATACACACACAGAGCAGCTCAATGTGTTGTTGACAAATTGCTGTGGAGAATCGTATTCATCGTATCTGGTTTGAGGCAAATGTTTTTGGCTCTGGTGGATAGTGATTGACAGACTGTTGGTTCTCTTCCAGGGAGAGGCAGGAGGCCGGCGGCCAGCTGAAGGAGCTGAAGGACCAACTGGAGAGTGAGCAGTATTTCACAGTAAGTCTCACCATCAATTTGTCTTTTGTGCACATTTTCTACAAAGATATACTGCCAGAACTGCAAAACAAAGTCTCAATCGATCAACAATAGGGGACTTGATTAGAAAGATTCCCAAATATGTCATGAGAAATACTTTTAATCTCCAACTGTTTTCCCTCCGAAGACTCTTTACAAGACGCAGATTCGTGAGCTGAAGGACGAGCGTTCTGAGAGGTGTAAACTGTACAAAGAGGCGCAGCTACAACTGGGACAATATCAGGAGGAGATGTAAGCAGTCACACTGTAACACCTGATATTTCTATTATGGGCTACCAGCATACAATTGTACATTTATATGGGTTTAGTTTGTGAATATCCAACGCCCTACACACATTTATTCTAAGGGAGACGATAAAGGCTCATCTTATCTTGTCCAAATATCAACTATTAATTAAACATACAAACTAAAATACATATATAATCCAAGCTAAAACATGCACATGCAAAAACAAACAATATGTTAATGTAAAGCAAAGTATAAAGTATGTAACACAAACAAGGTGTTGTAAAAGGAATGAATGCATCATAAAAATAAAACTCAATTATTTAGGTTTAAGAGGTGAATGTTAGTGATAGCAACGCATCCATAGGACAACAATACCAAGATAAGATGTATCTGTTTTTTAAATAATGTACCACACTTTCCAGATTAGTGTTATTTGCCCTCTGAATTCATCTCACAGCCAAAATGGAGGAGTTGACCTTCAGCAGAATGAGTGAATCAGATTAGCAGCCCCCGATGCCCTGCAGCCAAAGATAACTGTGGACAAGAAGTTAAAAATATGATCCAGTGTAACGCTCGCTTGGCAAATCGTGCTTTGACAAAAAGGTCATTCAAAGAATAATGTTTGTCCAAACTATAGGCAGCCTGCTTCTGACTGTGATAATAACAGCTTCATAATATGGCAATAACATTTCGTCCCACTCTTTCCTCCACAGGAGCTCCATGTCAGCACAGCTGGAGTCCAGTCTGACAAAGGCGGACTCAGAGCAGCTGGCTCGCTCCTTCGCTGAGGAGCAGTACTCGGATCTGGAGAAGGAGAAGATCATGAAGGAGCTGGAGATCAAAGATATGATGGCGAGAAACAAACTGGACCTCGGAGACAAGGAAGCCACAATCAGCTCGGTAAGATCAATACATGTTTTTGTTAGATCCAGAACGTTTTGAACCACTTTCAAATACTTTTTTTTGTTTTATTATAAGATTCCAGCTAATGATCCTGTAGTAGACGTTTCTAAAGTATTTAACAAACCTGTATTGTTGATATATATATATATATATATATATATATATATATATATATATAAATGGCACATTTCTGACATCCTTGGCATGTTTGCACTACAAACTGCTTTACTGGTGTACAGAAACTCCAAAGGGTGACATTAATAAGATCAGAGTTTTACTAACTGGGAGGCAGGCTTCCCGGGGGGGCTCCAAACTCCTTCAGAAGAAGTTCAGTGAGTAGAAATTGTAAAATATAACATAAGTTATCGAATGAAGATCACATAGAATAGCTTATTATGTGTGATTTGGTTAAAGGAGACAGTTCAGAGGTACATAAGTGAGTTTTTCTAACATTCCCAGACTCAAAATCGAATAATGCCTCAAGACAGACATTCTTTATGTATTTTATGTAGTCATAAAATATGACAAACGGCAATATTAGTTTATCTTGGCTGAATTGTTGAGTGTCTGATGTGATCAAATAAACTAATAATGAGCTCACAGCCATCCAGAAATACAGCAAAATGTCAGGACAACTAAGAGAGGGTGAGGGGGCGTCATTTTCAGGTCTTTGGCCCTGGAGTTACCCACTGTTTAAATAAGCTGATTATCAATAAGTGAACTGTCTCTAGCTAGTGACCCAGATGTCAAATCAACCCTGGACGGATGGATTAGAACATTGACAACCACAAGAGTTGACAAAAAATGTATTGTTTTTAAATGTGCCATATCAATTAATTGATCTTGTTTGCCCCCCTGCAGCTGGAAGAGTCCAATCGCACTCTGACGGTGGATGTGGCCAACCTGGCCAGCGAGAAAGAGGAGCTCAACAACCAGCTGAAAGACATGCAGCAACGTGAGTGTCATGTGAAGTTAATGAGAACCACATATAGAGAACACATTTACAGGAATGACATTTCCCTCAGTCCTGGAAAACGTGTTCAAAATCTGTCTTACCTATCCAGAAGATTTATGGTGATAGGGTTGTTAAAATGTCATGAAAGAAGTCATTAATCTCTTCAATCGGGAATCCTCTGTAGAACTGCAGTATATTGGTCTTCAAAGTTGCAGTATCATTTATTGATATCTTATCTAAAAGTTATGTGAAGTGAGTAAAGTATATAAGCCCGGATTTAATATTTGTCTCTGCTGTGTATACAGAGCTCCAGAAAGCAATGGAGGAGGAGAAGCAGATGAACTCTCACAAACTGTCCTTTGAAAAGCTGCTGCAGAATGAAAGGACGCTCAAAATTCAGGTGTGTGTCTGGGCGCCTACGCAGGTCTGGAAAGCCTGGGATATTTCCTATACATTTCTACTTTTACTGTCTGACTTTTTACAACTGTTATGTCACATCATTTGTTGTTAATAATACTGTTCAGCTGCAGGGCTAGTGTTGAACTCTGGACAAAATCACTGAGATCTGAAACTAGTTTTAAAAAAATCTATCTCAGCCAGGATATCCCTGCAGGCTGCCCTGAGTATATACTGAATTCATATTAACCACAAATGGATCCCTGAGAAGCTGCTGTGTTTTTTGCTCCCAGGCTATCAACAAGCTGACCGAGGTGATGAACAGGAGGGAGTCGGGGCGAGGAGGCCAGCGCACGATCGACACTGAGGTGCACAGGAAGGAGAAACTGAACAGGAAGCTGCAGCAGGAGCTGAGGACGGAGAAGGAGAAGCTCAACAGCAACATCATCAAGTACCAGAGAGAGATGATGGATATGCAGGCGGTCAGTATGCAGAAGCTACACTCCAGCACACCGACAAATCACATGAATATATACTAAGGCTGCACAATCAACCAAAATTGTATTGTTGGGCTGCCTACAAATAGACTTAACAAAACATATGTTTGGTACAGATTCTCTTAAAAAATGAAACCATGTCAATTTTGATATGTGTTTCAATGATAATGAGATTAATGTGGCAATTAAAAAAGAAAGACTCAACGGTTTTATTGTCCTATGCACATAAGCTACAGTGTAGAAATGGCAATGAAATATTCTGACCTGAGCTCCTCCAACAATGCAACATATATAAAAAAATAGTGCAAAAAATCTATATACATGTAAATAGAATATGATATGTGCAAAAACAGAATATGGAATTAAATAATGTACATTAAGACAAAACGGATCTATCCTAGTCGCAATATCAGTCAATAAAATCACAATTACTTATTTTTTCCAAATTGTCCAGCCCTAATATATATACATGAATGTGTTCTCTAACAGCAAACAATAGGAAATACAATGAACTGCAATTAAACAATGGTTTGTGTGTGTTTCTCAGCTGATAGCAGAAGAGAACCAGGTGCGTCTGGAGCTTCAGATGACGTTGGACAGCAAAGACAGCGACATCGAGCAGCTCCGGTGTCAGATCACTTCCCTCAGCATTCACTCTCTGGACACCACCAGCATCAGCAGTGGCAACGACCTGGAAATGCTTGACGGATACCCAGGTAGACAAAGGACACTTCACGCTCATCCTCACCTGCATGCACTTCCTTCCTTCCTCTTCCTGCAGTCTCTCTTCCTGAGTTCTCACTGTTTCCTTTGTTTTCACTTTGAGTCTCTTCCAGGCCCAATTGTTTTCTGACCTTTTCCCTCTATATGCTTTTTCCTTTTTTCCCCGTCCTCACTTCACCTCAAATTCTCCCTTCCTGGTCCGGCACAGTGCGCATTTCTCACTCACAAACCTCAGAATCAAGGTCCTTCACCTACCAGCGCACACACAAATCTGTCTGCATCGACACCCGGCCAAACCTTCGCTCTGCTCACAATCTCTTCGACTCTGACTCTGACTCTGAGGATGAAGAAGAATATGGCAGGAGGGCGGAGCAGGGCCCCCGTCCCCTGGCCCTCACCTACGAACAGCCCCCTGAGGCTGAACCTGCAGGTGACGCTGCATGGCAGTTCAAACCTGGGATGGGGATGCAATAACACTTTTCAAATCGACCTAATATCATTATTTATCCATTAAAATGTCCATGTTTTCAAATTGGACGTTAATAAAGATTTCAATTGAGAAATAAATACTGCACCCTCAACCCTGGTTCAACCTTGCAAATGTTCTGCTAATCCCTTTACTCTTTTGACTTGTCACTGTCTCTGCTGTGCTTTAATCCTTTTTAATGCTCACTGCACACGTAAATACTCACAGCGTGATGCTGGTCCGCTTTGGTCTAATTTATTCCTCTGAGAAAAAGGGAAGTTGGTGAAGTGTGTTGAGTTTTTCCTAGAAAAGTGGAAAAAAAACCTGCTCATTTTAGTTTGTTTTTCCTCACCAGACACCTGCCATGTTGTGTGCCGGAGAATTTCGTTTTTTTAATTAGAGATTTTATATTCCTTGCAGCTTTCTGCCCTTACGTTTTAGCGAGGAATCATTCCTTCTTTAAGTGATGAGGGTCTGTTTGAAGGAAATGCCACCATTTCAAAATGTCACGGTGTTTTTTTTAAAGTGCTTCACATGATTAAAGGCTGTTCTCTTTGTGTTAACATCTTCCTGTTTTGTTCTCCTCGAACTAGACTCCAGGTTGCAGGGCTGGATTTCCCTTCCTACCAAGAACACAAAGCGCTTTGGCTGGGACAAAAAAGTAACGTATCCTCCACCACTATATCTCATACCTACAGATTTGTTTTCCAAGTAATCACCATTTCCATTAGAGCAATTTCCCTGTCTAACCTTTTGACCCTTGTTTCCTTTTCCTTCAAAGTATGTAGTTGTGAGCAGTAAGAAGATCCTGTTCTACAACAGCGAGCTGGATCGAGAGCAGGCTAATCCTTTCATGACCCTGGACATCGAGTGAGTCATATAAAGCATGGTTTGAACATGTAATACTAGAATACTTGATGCTGCTACACATTTATGTATTCCTATTGATTACACGTATTATCCTGGGTCCATATCAAGTGAATCTCTCTTCCTCCTATAGAAAACTTTTTCACGTCCGACCTGTCACTCATACGGATGTGTACCGTGCGGATGCCAAAGAAATTCCAATGATATTCCAGGTGAAAAGCTCCGACATACCCGTCTCTTTCTTTTCCCTCTGTTCAGACTCAATATAAATCCGTTTTTCTCAATTCAATTTTCTCCTTTCCTTTCTTTCCCCAGATCCTGTATGCCAATGAAGGCGAGATTAAACGTGATCAGGAGTTGACAGTGGATCCGGGGACGTTTGTGGATCGCCCCTCCTTCATCCCTCACAAGGGCCATGAGTTCATCCCCACTCTCTACCACTTCCCGTCCAGCTGTGAGGTCTGCACCCGGCCCCTGTGGAACGTTTTTAAACCCCCGCCGGCCCTCGAGTGCCGTCGCTGCCACACCAAGTGCCACAAAGATCACCTGGACAAGAAGGAGGAAGTTATTGTGCCTTGCAAGGGTCAGTATGCTCAATCATATAGAAGCGTTTGTCCAACATTAAGTGAACATCACAACCATTGTGCTTGTTTCCCGGAGATCATCTAACGAATATGTTTTTTTTCTTCTGCAGTGAACTTTGACATCTCCACTGCCAAAGAGCTGCTTCTGCTGACCAGCTCTCAGGAGGAGCAGCAGCGCTGGGTCGCCCACCTCCTCAAACGCATCCCGAGGAAACACCCGACCCTGAGTCCTCCCGCCGCAGCACAAAACAACCACCCTGACGCTCCGCCACGCCTGTCTCCTCGAAACTCCCCGAGACCCTCACCCAAGGCCTCGCCTCGTCTGTCGGCCCATCGCGGAGCCATCAAGATTCAGCCCAGCAGACAGCAGTCGTCCTCAGGGAAGCCCAGGTGAGGACAAGGAACATTTTACTGCGTACAGATATACTTATATTAAAACTCAGTTTGTTTTCAGTGTTAACATGACTTGAATTACTGTTTTCCCACGATATGGTCATGTTAAACTCAATATGGAGGAAATGTAGCACTTGTTATTTTCAGGTTTAATAATTCCGCCATTTTATTTAATTCATTTTGCATTATTATAGCAGGTATGTTGGCAACAAGGGAAAAGCTATATAAAGAAAAAAGCCACCTACACAGTGAGATGTTCCCCAAAAACCGTTTTTATTAAGTCGCTTTGTCGTTTAATTCCTGTGAAGACTAATTGGTGAAATACCGTAGCCGTACCCAATACAACCTTAAGTCATTTTTTTAACGGTAAAACTCCAGGAATTATTTTATTATTATTTTCTATGTTTTGATTATTAAATGTCAGATACCAAAACATTAAGTGTCATTATAAAGTTACCATTTACAATGCATTTACTTTGGACAACTAATCTGCTAATCTCCTAATTTTCTTTTAATGTCACAAGATGCCTTTATTTATGGTGTCCTTTTGCATTGAGAAACATTTCTTGTGTGTACAAATATCAGGGTGAAAAGCTTTATATTTTTGCTTATTTTACTAAATATAATTGTATTTTTCTGTAAAAAATGAATCAACAATCTTAACAAAAACCCTTATCTTGTTTTCTCTTTTGATGATTCTAAATCCTGTGCACTTTAAAGGGGCCTAAATCTGTGGCTCACCAATTTGTTGCTTTAAGATTCCTGAACCATTTACATAACGATGTAGCAAACATGGCCTCTCACGGCGTCAGTAACAACCTAATAGTAGTAGGAAACCATTTTAAGCGGTGCTAACTGCCACCATCTTGTAAAAGTTTGCTTTCTCCTCCACAACCTAACTGGCTCTCATCCCTCAGCGCTGGCCCCATGCTCCGTATCATCCTCCACTGACCTCTGACCCCACCTTTCTAACGTCTCTCATGCTGGGAGACTGTAAGTAACAGAGCTTGTCACGCCTGTCCGTCTCCATAACATGTGCTGCCGTGTCCATTAACACTCACCCCAGTATAACAAGTACTACTCAATCAGTCGGTTAACTCCTCGCAGCTCTACACTGCCCCCTGCTGAACCGGGCATGTATTACCCTGGCAGTTTATGAAGCTCGATAGGCTTTTGACCCTTCGGTAAACCTCATACTTACTTTTCAGATTGCTTGAGTTCGGCCTCAGAGACTGGAGTTGGCCATTGGATGATGACGATAATGATGATGATGATATGTTCTTCTGAATGAAGTGAAAGAGGGGGGTCAGAGGGTAACTGGACCTCTGCATGTGTTTGCCGTGTGCAGGCAGCCTTACTGGAGACAGAGGCATGCTTTTTTGTGATTTCTAAATTGACAGCTGAGTGGAAACATGAACTCTATGAATGTCATCGTGGTTACAACGAAAGTAACAATTATTTCTGCACTAAGCAGACATTTTTGAGAATTGGTCTGCATGTTTGAAGGAAGTCAAATATTAAAGAAATAGTTGGTAATTTGGGGAAATACACTTCACTTTCCTGCAAAAAGGTAAGTGATGGTACCAGTGACATATCTGTACATTCAATATGAAGCTGCAGACAGTTAGCTTAACTTAGCATGAAGACTGTAAACAGCTAGTCTGGCCCGTCCATAGGTTACACATTTTGCCTACCAGCACTCTATCTCACTCAAACAAAAAGTTATTTAAGAATAAAACAAGCCAGACTAGTTGTTTCCAGTCTTTTTACTAAGCTATATGTCTGCTGGTTGTATCTTTACTTTACTACTGTGAGTGGTATCAATCTTCTCATTAAACTGTGAGCAGAAAGCGATACGCATATATCACAAAATGCTTTCATATTTCACTTCTTTCAAACATGCAGACTGAAGATGAATCCGTCAGCTCTTTTTGCATTTTACTCATGCATTGTGTGGCTACTGGAAAGCTTCCTGGTTTAATATGTGTGGATTTTGTGTGGGCGTGCCTTTGAAGTCCAGCCATTCTGTTGGTAGCATCACCAGGTGTTCACATCATTTTCTTTCTCTCCCTTTTCTCTCTCTTCACAGTTAACCCTGGCTCATCAAAGATGTGTATTTTCATCTTTATGGATAAACACCCGCAGTCTGGACTCAGTGCCTTCATGTGTTATTTCATCAGGGCAGTAGACTGAAAAGAATCCTGCTAATCATGGACAGAAACATTCACAGAGACTGGCTGTCGTCATGAGAACTGAGGCTGCCTTTTTCATTTTAACAAGATGAAAATGAGCGTGTCATATTAGAGTGAGACTACATCCAAAGAAAAAGTTAAAAAAATGGATTAAAAGTGCCTTATTTATAACCATCATGAAAAAACATGGGCGTTTTATTCTGTCAGATGCAGTGAATCACATGGATTTATGTTTGTTAGGCATGTGTGTGAACATTTGTATATAGGATCAAGAGGTCTGTGTATTGTAACACAGAAAGCGTAGCTCATAGAATATGATTATTTGTATGGATGTCAGTCAGCAGCACATTATACAGTATGCTTGCCTTATAAATGAATAAGGTTTTCATTATACAAAGTAGACTTGTATAACATACGACAGAATAATGTGAATTGAATAGAAACCATGTGTTCTTTTCTCGCCATTCATGACAATGACATTTAAATAAAATTCTGTAACCCTAATAATGAGTAATTCATTTTTAATGTATTGTTTAAAATCCAATGTAGAGGTTTGAGAGATTTGTCTTGATATAACAAAGCATGACTATGACCCTAAATATTTAATCAGTGTATTCATGTCTTGTTTGAAACCTTTCAAGGATTAAATACAAAAACTCCTCCCTGCACTATAATCACATCAAAAGCAGCGGGAGTAAATTAAATGGACACTGAATGAGTTTGTCTTGGGGTTTTTGACAGGAAGATTAAGGAAAAACCTTTCCCCCTGCTTCTCTGTATAGTAAGGTAGTGTCAGTGAATTCAGTTTCAGTTTTTTTCATTGTTCAAAGAATAGTTTCATATTGGGGAATACATTTATTCGCTTCATAACACTCAGCCGGTTAGCTTAGCAAAAAGACTTGATATGTGAAACTTGTGAACAACAAGCCCCTTTAAAGCTCCCTAAACATATCATGATTGTTTAAAGGGGCCCTAATATGCTCATTTTCAGGTTCATATTTGTATTTTGTGCCTTTATTGTGACATGCTTTAAAGTGGACCTATCATGCTATATTTGAAACATATATTGTAGGGCCATACCTATACAAAACATGTCTGTGAAGTTTTATTTTCAAAATACCAAACAGATCACCCATTGTAGCCATGCCTCATACTGCTCAAACCCCTCTTTTGAAGCCCTGTTAGAGAAACGCGGATCTTGGGTCCTTAGCTTGAAAAAAAGAAAGAAGAGGCGGCGGAGCTAATGCCTGATCAGAATTCTACCGGAGATAAAGTTAAATTCGGTTGTGATAAAACACCATCCTGTTTAAACCACGTCAAGGATTATTTCTGAAACAGTATGGAGCTCAAATGCTTTTTCTCTTGCGGGTTTATCACAAGGTGAGTTCCTTTTTTTATTTCCTGCTTTTTAAACACATGTGCTCTACAGTACAGCTTAGCTCTGAGTGTTAGCGAGGCTTGCTACAGTAATGTAAACAAAGACGTCCAAAACACTTCAGGCATTGTTTCTGATAGCAACTTGTGGGTCCGCCGCCGCTATTACGTCACAGCGGATGGAATCTTTATCCGCTCGTTGTACACCCGTTTTTAAAAGATTTGGGTACTGAGGAAAAGAGAGGGTTTTATTTTCTGACGCTGCGTGAGTTCCCCGACGCACCGGGGACACATATGTATGTATAAAAGACATCACAAAGTGCATTTTGCATGATAGGTCCCCTTTAATGTTCAAAATGTGCTTTACTTTTCTCATACGGTGCTGCAGCACCTCTTTTCCCCCGCTGTCTGAAACCAGAGTCCATTCAACTTTGATTTGTTAGCTCTTTTATGATTGGTCAACCGAGGTTTCACCCCTTAGCCAATCCCGTATAATGTGTAGGATCGCTAGCCAAAATAAGAGCGAGTGTTATTTAGTGATGTCACTATGTCACAGAAGTAAACAAAGGAGTCAAGTGGAGGCGTTTCAGGCAGGGGGGGAGAGAAACTCCCTCTGGAGTGAACTTTGGGATTGTAGACTTTGCAGACCATTTATGTGCACAAAAACCTATAAAAACACACTACAGGAAATGGAAACCCCAAAAAAGCATAATTCCTTTAACTCAATGCATTATTTGTGAGGTATCAGTGAGATCTTGGTCATCTAAAGATATACTCATTAAAAACAATCTGTATTTTAGACTGTACAATACTGAATGTTCAGGTCATAAAATGAAGAATACCAAAAAAAGACAATGACATTATAAACACAGAATGTTATAGAAACACTGCGGTGATCCTTGGCAGGCGTTAGATCGGACTACTGTGTATTTTAGGAGACTATTTGAACTCTACCAGAATAGGTCTGTCTATCTCGCAAGTGCATGTAGAGTGAGTGGGCTCGGCTGAAATAAATCTTTCAGAACAGCCTAAAGCCAACTGGCACTCATCATACATAATGTAATGGTTCGTCATGTTGCCCATCTGCTGAAATCATATTTCATACTGCAAGTCTGATCCATTCTGTCTATCAGCCGTGTGACTCTATGCTCTGCTTCAATACCCTGAAACCTGCTTTACCAACAGCGGCGACCTCATGTGGCACGCAGCCTTCACTCATCACTTTCTATACAGATTTTTATTTACATTTCGGAAAATAAAATGTATTTCTTTCAGGAGTGTCAAAACTGTTTTGAAGTATTCATTTGAGGTCAATTTCATGCTGCTACTCTACTTTATCTGGGAGGGAAATATTGTATTTTTTACTCTACTGCAGTAGTTTTACTTATTTACTCTTAACCTATGATTTTATATACAACACATGAAGATAATACAAAATGATTCATTATAAATTAAGGAAACAATGAGCTAATTAAAACAGGATTTACTTCAATAGTACAATTGTATTCTATAAACGGGCTATTTTTCTGCCTTGTGTTTTCTGCATTATTAAAATGTTAATTACTGTATCTGAATACTACTAACATTTTGAGCAAATTAAATCGAATTGATCTCATTTTACATGGATGATGTTTACCTATGCCCTATTTCCTCATCCTTCCCATATCTAAAAAATCCAAAGTGCAAAATAATGTAAACATGTATTTCACTCCGTGGCAAACTATTAGAATCATAAACTTCATATGCTCACATTAAAGCACACACTTAAACATCATACTTGACAATTATCAGAAATGTAAAATGTTATTCAATAATCCAACGTAAACTAAGTGTCCAGGTTTTGTACTTTCCCTGCAGGTTAGAGTCTCACAATCTGTTGCAACTGCCTGTCCTTGACAAATGACTGTTTTGAGCGCGTCCTTGTTTACTTAATAAGTAATGATTACATCGGGGGATTCTGCTCCCCAAATGACTCAATCATTCGCAAGTGACTGCTGCTGAATCTGATATAAGGAGCGGTTGGAAAACCACAGTAAGTTTTATTTTGTTACTTAGGGAATGGACAATATATATGTATATGGACAAAACTTCTATTATTATTAACAAAAGTCTTATTGTGCTACTCGTGTACATACATTTTACTCTAATGTCCATACGTTTTATTTTGTTGTGTATGTGCATTAACATCATAGCCTATACACTGGAAATAATTTGTATGTTTTGCAGTGCTGAAATACCTCGAGATATGTTATCCATTTATGTTATTTTTCTTGATCATTAACTCTGTGTCCTCTTCTCCTAGAAATGAAGTCCTGGTGTGCCCTCGCTTTCCTCTGCTTTGCATATTTCTTCCATAGCGCTCTCTCCTGTCCGCCACTTTGCAAATGCTACCACAGAAGAGCTGAGGTGGTCTGTAATGCAGTTCCCCTGACAGAGTACCCCTCAGAGGGATTACCGAAGAACACCACCATTCTGACCATCCAGTTTACAAACATCACCTCGATCTCCGAGCAGCACCTGAACGCCACGCCTCGGCTGCGAGGGCTGCACCTGTACAGTAACCACCTGCAGAGCCTCACCCCTCATCTCCTCAGAGGCGTTCCTCTCCTCAACACGTTGGATCTTACAGGAAACAGACTGAGCGACCTGCCTGCAGGCGTCTTTAACCCCGCCCCGCTCAAGGACTTGGTGCTGAAGAATAATCGTATTGAGATGGCGGAGGCTGAGTGGCTCCCTGATAACTGCAGCATCACCTGGTTGGACTTATCTGGGAACAGTCTAACGAAGATCCCGACTGCTCTGCTTCAGAAGCTGCCCCACCTGGAGACACTGGACATCGCCAACAACCGTCTGGAGAAGATCTTTGCAGATTCTCTGGTCCCACTGACCAAACTAGAGAGGCTGAACCTGCAAAACAACAAGCTCGAAACCCTGGATCCATCCGTACTCCATAGCACCCGTAACCTCACCTATCTGTTCCTCTCTCGAAACAAACTCAACTTACTCCCCCAAAACGTATTTCAAGAGCTCACTCAGCTCAGACACCTGAGCCTGGATGACAACCAGCTGAGCCACATCCCTGCAGGTTTGCTGGAGCCCCTGAGCTCTCTGGACGAGGAGGGGCTGGACCTGACCAACAACCCCTGGCACTGTGACGGGAAGGTGGAGTACCTCTGGAGGTGGCTTCAGAAGAACAAGAAGAAGGTCTTCCTGCCAGAGACCATCACATGTTCCCGCCCACAGCCTCTGGCGGGGCGCTCACTAATGTCGCTGACATTAAGTGAACTAAATCTGTGGTCTTAACTTTTTCCATCCTCATACTTAAAATCTATTAAATGATATACCCAGTTCAGCTGTCTTATTTTACAATCACTGAAACATATTATTTTGTCAATATACCTAAATGTATTATTGAATATGGTGCGAGTAAAGAAAGCTTCTAAGAATTTCTGTCGATCTGTTAATTGCGCACAAAATGGGTTAAGCCAAATATGACGCAACAGCCACAAGACATTTCGCTTAGCTTAGCATTAATGCTGGAAACAGAGGGAAACTTGGCTATATTTGACGAATTCCCTTACTAACACCACATAAGACTTCATCAAATCATCATCATTTTGTATGAGGTTAGCAAACCAGATATAATGTGTGAAAGGAATACTATGCATACAATTTAAACCACTGTTGACTCGCACTGACAAGAAACGAGAAGTGTGAGGCTGGTAAAGCAATAGTGTTTTAAATAGGAAGGATATAGCCAGGCATGTTTGTTAGTATGTGACCATACAACTATGTAAATTAATGCTTGTGTGAGGGTTTTGATACATGTTTACCGTGTGCCACCCCCAATTTACTTTATTTTGTCAAGGATTTCCTCCCACTTCTGGACATTAAAGGTGGGGTATGTAATTTATTTCAGAAACACTTTTTGTTATATTCCATGGAATGCTCTTAACATCCCGATAGCAATGAATATATTAAATGCTTTGACAATAAATACATTAAAAACATTTCATCTGTGGAAGCCGTAGTGCTGTAAAAAGCACGACCAATCATTTTAGCCGGCCCGGCTAAAATAACTGGATGGCCTACCTGCCTGTCAGCCTTCCATCTGTGCACAAACTTATCTCGTGCCCTCATTGGTCATGTGCGCCTTTGTGTGTGTTGGAGGAGGGGCTCTGTAAGGAAGTGGCAGATTTTCTCCGGTTGTGTATTTTCAAATTCTAGCGCACTCGAGCTGGTTTCTCCAAAATTACTTACCCCACCTTTAATCCACTGTTGAAACGTGAGGAAAAAAAAGAAATTCTTCCAAAAATTCAAGAAAACAGGGTGAGTAATGGTTATCCAAATGATCATTTTGTGGTTCAAGTATACCTTAAATAAATAAGCTTAAGAGGTGCTGGTAGGGGAGAGTGGGGTAAGTTGAGCCATTTTTTAGTTATGCTGTCCTCTAAGCAAGGAGAAATGACACATAGTAAAAATGAAAGCACACACTTATAATTCAGGATGTCTCCTATCAATGGCAATGATAAGAATTAATATTTGATCAAGGGCAGTGAAAATATTACTTCTAAAAGAAAAGTGGTCTTGTGGCTCAACTTGCCCCGGGTTAGGGGTAAGTTGATCCAGGTCAGGGGGTAAATTGAACCACTGTTCAAACCTGGGCATACCTGTTCAAACCTGGGCATACCTACAAAAAAATCGTAAAAGGTAACTTTAAACAATAAATAACAAACCAAATACAAGTTTAGTTTTTCAAATATTTTTAATATAAATTTCGATTGAATTGATTGATTTTTTTTTCAACATGTTAAAAGGAAAAGTAATCATACAAATGGTGATACAATTGCATACATCTTACCAATCAAACACAGAGTAAATTCAACTTTAAATGTAGCCTACAATGAGCTCTTATTATCAACTTGGCCTACTTTCATTCATTTCTCCATTGAAAAACTGGTTCAACTTACCCCAAGGCCCATGGTTCACTTTACCCCATAGCCACCATTTTAGAAAAAATAGCCTAGCATTAAAATTCAGTCATCTTTAGCTTAATGACTCATATGGTTTAATAACACATCAACATATACAATATATGTGTTTAAACCTGGATACATTTTTTTTTGACATGACAGCCGATATTGCTGACATCTAGAACATTTACTTTGACAAGCAAAAAACGTTTTTTTGTAAAACGTTTACTTACTAGACCACAATGAGCATCTCTCTTTCACAGGCAACTAGAAATGGGAGGAGCTTGCATCATTTCTGGTCACGTGATTACAACTATAAGGCGTTGCCTGGTTACAGGGGGTGGTTCAACTTACCCACTGGCTCAACTTACCCCCTTCTCCCCTATGCTTATTTCTGACAGAGCTGTTTCCCCTTGTTTCCAGTATTTAAGATAAGCTAATTAGCTAATGTCTGAAGCCTCACGATGAATTGACAGATGAGTTGAATTGATCTTCCCTATAACTCTCAGCAAGTAAACAAATAGTCTAGTAATGTCGGCCTGTTAGTTGTGTATGCTCTTTAAAAGTGAAATGTAAACACCAACATTGTGTGATTATTAAAAAAGGATTGAAGAATCAAATCAAATACCTCATTCATTCTGTTATTTTGCCCACATCAAAGACACTCAATCATATATACTGTACTGCTGCATAAAAATCAGGCAGGAGTGGGAAAAGAAAATATTGATTTGTGTGTGTGGTAACATCTTTACTTTTGGAAATAACAGAAAAAAGTAACCACTCACTGGTTGATGAGCTGGTTTGTTTGCTTGGTTTTGTTTGCCTCTTGCAACATTTTGTTCTGACTCATTGCTGGGAACAAATTCACTCAGCATATAAAACCCAGTCTGTGATCAACAATCGAAGGAATTCTCCCGTGCCCTTAAGGTAAGATTATGCATTTATGATTTGTTTTACAATGCAGTTGTTACGGTTTTGTATTTATGTTTTCATTTTCCACCTTTTGTTTTGAAATGTTTTCCTCCTTGTGTCTTCTCTGTTCCTTCTTCCTGTGTTTGCCTTCCTGTCGTTAGTTTCCCTGGTGTGTCTGATTGTCTGATTGTGTTCACCTGTTGCCCTTGTGTTTCTGCCTCCCTTACCCCAGCTGTGTCTTGTCTTGTGATTACCCCTCTCTGTATTTAGTCTTGTCTTCCCCTGTGTGCCTTGTCGGTTCATTGTTGGTTTTTCCTGTCTCCCTCCATGTCAGTCACGGTCAGTTTTTGTGCTACCTATGTGTTTCATGCCATGTTTTTGTTCAGCTTTTAAAATAAAGCTCGCTTTTTGTTTATAGACCTTTTTACCTTTTATTGTAGTCTGCATTTGGGTCCTACCCTTTCCACGCATCCTAACAGCAGTGATATTACTTGTGATCCTTTGTAGTAGGATAATAATATGTGCGTGATCCGGTGTGAATCTGCTTCTCACACTGAATGTTTACTCTGTGTTTTAAAGATGAACCTGTGGATGTTCCTTACCTTCTCTGCACTGGCTGGATGCGCCCACTCCTGCCCCGATCTCTGCTCCTGTTCACCTTCAGGTGCAGAGGTGCAATGCAGCCAGAGCTCCCTTATGAATTTCCCTGTAGACGGTTTACCCTCCAACACCAGTCGAATATCGATCCAATCAACCAAACTCAGCAGTATCACAGCCAGCCATTTGAGCGCTGTGCCCCTTTTAAACAACCTCCAGCTGTATCACAACAACCTGACAAGCCTTCCTTCCGATCTACTGAAGAACGTTCCTCACTTGAACGAGTTGGATCTGACAGGAAATCAGCTGGTTCATCTTCCTCCAAATGTCTTCAGCCACGCTTCACTTCGGAGTCTTGTGCTGAAGAATAACCTGATTGAGGTTGCTGACGCTGAGTGGGTTCTTGGCAATAGTAGCCTGACCTGGCTGGACTTGTCTGGAAATCTTTTAACAAGTGTACCCGTCGCTCTGCTTCAGAAACTGGCCAATCTGAAGAATCTAGACCTGAGTGACAACAATCTGCAAGACCTACAACCTGGCGTCCTGAAGAACCTGCACCGCCTGGAGACACTGAACCTCGCTGGTAACAAATTAAGCTCCTTGAAACCTACAACGTTCTCCCACAACGCCAAACTATCACAACTGTTCTTACAGGAGAATCGTCTCCAAGAGCTGCCGGAGACTCTTCTCCACGGTCTTCAGCATCTTCAGCTTCTAATGCTCAATCAGAATCAGCTGCAGTATATACCCCCGGGGCTGCTGGACAGAAACTCATCGTTCCAGGTCATCCTAAGCGGAAACCCCTGGGTGTGCGATGAGAAGATGGAGTATCTGTGGAAGTGGCTCACTGTCTATCCTCAGAATGTCGTCTTTTTGGAAGAGGTGACATGTGCAGGACCTGAAGCTCTTAAAGACCGGAAAGTGGTCTCTTTAACTCGCAATGAGCTAGGACTGCAAATTATTCAAAATTAGTGATGAAAAAGAGTCAGAATTAATTCGGTTTACCCTTTTACATTTTAATGAAAACTTATTTCAAATGATTTTTTTTTCTGTTTGTATGTCAGAAATAAAACTTTGCAAATCATTATGTTATTCAGCATTATTTTTTTATATTTATTATACTTGATCTCTCCATTGGTGGGATATTGTCAGCCCACAGGGTGGCGTGAGACTCTCAACAACAACAAATAAATAAAAAAGCTGAATTTACGATTTAAGAAACAATTTACCTAAACGATCCCAGCCAAAAAATCTATCAAGTCAAATGATGATCGTTAATATATTCTGGTTATATTTATTTGTATCTGTGATGCACCTCATCTCAAGGCAAATGGGTACTATAATTCAAAGTATGGACAAACTAGGTTGTTAATCATACTTTCTTAATGGAAAGCATGGTCCAAAAAAAGCTGTGATCAAGACATGAAATGGGCATCAGTAGTGTTTAAGAATCGCAACAAATCAAAGCGTTCTTCCCTCCTTCCTTGTGTTTTTTTTTAGTTTCTTCCATTGAGTTCTTAATCCAACGGATGCGTCTCACTTGGAGTTGGTTGCATCACAGATTGCTGCATTGTTTCAGTCGTGCCCTTTTGTTTTTAATGATGTTGTTGAGCATGTGGGGAGTGTGTGGGCAGTGCAATCACTGATTCTTCTACTTACCTCTGCTGGGTGTGTTTAAATCTAAGTTTCTCTTTCTTTAAGTCTTTCTCTCATTCTGTTTGAATATCCACACACACACGTCCCCAAGCCTTGATCACAGTGAGTGCAACCTAAATGTAATGTAACATGTTATTACTGTAATAAAATATAACACATTGCCCTGTCTAGAGGCAGTTACTTGTGAAAATGAAACCGTGTTTATAAAAGCTCCCAAAAGAGTGAAGGGTAAACTCATAGAGGTGTGATGTATGTCTTTCACTTCACCTCTCTGAATTGTATCCTGGAGGTTAAAGGGTTAGGAAGTGTGAGTAAGATAATTCCGTCTGGTTGGAAACATCTGCTTTGGGGAAAGTGAACCAATAACTATTGCTGTTCTTTGGGGAGAGACATTTAATCTCCATCCAAGTTATCCCCAAGGCTGTGATGTTTTTTTAAGCGTATAATGGCATACAGGTTGTTCCTTGGATAAATGAGAATGATTAGTTTGGAATAATGGAGCCGCTCTGGCTCACTGCCGTACTGTCAGCTAATGATGACTGACTGACACTGAAATCTAAAAGGTCAGGCTAACACTTGGAAATGACTGTGGCCTTTCTGACTTGGTGTTATAATAGTGGAGACAGTATCCTCTTTGAGTGCTGCTCATTAGCACATATATCAGTGCAATAATTACTTGACAAATACGTTTGAAATACACACAATTTTATTATATTCATTTTCTTCCCTTATCTCTCTATGGACATCTACAACAAATAATTTCCATTTGACTTATGCTCTATTACATTTCATATGGATATTCTTGATTTTACATGGACACTTTTATTTAACAGCTTTAAATAGAAAGTCACTCTGACGGTGGGCTGCTGAGTCAGGCTCTTGATATAAAAGTGAATATGAAATAGCAAGTAAACTCGCAACCTATGAGCCCTTTTGATACGAGTTGTATTAGACATAAACGTGTTCCTAGTCTTTTGTTTGCATGCAACCTTTCCTGTCTAGGGGAAAAGGGTTGTTGACTCACTACCAGCTCACAGGGAGCGAGCAAATCCTCAATATCCGCTCCTCAGGAGGATACCCTCGGTCCACTCAGACAGCACGGTCTTCGGTGTAAATGTCCCGGGTTGTCAGGTGTTGATATTGTTCGAGGTAGGAGACTGACGCCGTTTGTCTATCAACATGTCTTGTTTCCCGCGTCTTCCTCGGAGCAGGATGCAGCTCTCAAAGTTAACCCCAGGTGTTTCACACAGGTGTCACTAAGAATGGCTAATGAGTCAGCCAACGCCCCCCAAAATCTCCAGAACAACACATTTGCAGATAAGTATTTTCCATGTTAAGAAATTATAATATTTAATTTTTTTTTTGATAACTAACAGGAATATAATAGTTGTCGATCAAAATAATGTTAAATAAAAATAATAATTTCTATATCAATAACTATTATACAAATATAATATTTATAATCATAAGGTAATAATTCGTATTTATAATCATATATTTTTTAATCATTTATTTAAAATAGTAGCACTCACAAAAGGGCCATTGTGCAGTATACTACCTTTGGTCAAATCCACTTTTGCTAAGCTCAGCTAACCGAATGCTGATTTTAGCTGCATAAAGTAGCATTTTTTCCATACATAAATTGTTAGATTGGTATCATATTGTCATCTAACTCTCCACTAGTAAAGCAAATTGGTGAATTTACGTGAATGTCAAACTTTCCCTTTACAAGATGTATATTATAGTTTTGCTCCTTTGGCTTGAGGATATGAATGTTTCTTTAGCTATTAGAAATGAGTCAGCCATCCAACATAACTCATCCGTTTTATGAAAAAGTGTCCCTACAGGGCAGTTGAGGTAACTTCAGTGGGCTGAGGTAAAATTAATCACAGAGAAATAAATTCCCAAGGCAAAGTTTCCCCTCTAACGAGACACGCGTTCATTAACTTGTCACTGCAGCGGTGCATCTCTGTTCTTACACCTTGAAACTGTGAAGCTCACCTTCTGATGTTATATGTGTTTATACTCGGGCTGATCTAAGAAAGAGGTTGCAGTCTCATTAAAAGCTTACCTGGAGGTGGGTGAGAGGAGAGGAATCACACCGTTGCTGCCTTCAGAAGCTTGAGGCCATTACCATGCAAACACTTAACAGCAGTAAAACAATCCCACTGCCATCTGTACACCTCCACACGTTTTTTTACTTAGCATTGACAGCATTTTGTTTATGCCTACAAACTAACATCCCTCATCTAGCTTGTTTAATCAATTTAGCCATTAAGCGGCTGATGGTGCGGCAAAATAGCAAGATCACATGCATCTTCATTTATCACAATCCTAGATGCATTGTATTCATCCTGATCTGCTCATAAATAAACCCTGCACTTGACTACAAAAACACAGGGAAAGAAATGTGCTGTTACCTTGGTGCATTATCTCATTATTTGGGAAGAGAGGTGAGGAGATTGGTTGTTGTAAATGGCTGCACGCTCTCCAGGGAAATGGGCCATTAGAAAGCTCTTTCTAGATGGACGTTGCGTTTAACACCCTGCCACAAATCCAGCCGGCTTTATAGCGGGAACAAATGTGTTGATGGAGGCCCTCTCAATATCCCCACACAGCAACCACATGGAGAACACATTAACCCTAAAAGAGACGTAGCAGCTGCTTATCCATCAATATCGGATGATATTGATGGATAAGCAGTGCTGGGAGAAAGTGTGAAGTAGAAACCAAAAATATTCACATGACAACAACACAACATTAATGGAGACACAAACAGCAGTGATGACGCATGTTAGGAGAGATGAAACAGCAATTTGATGGATGTTTTCTCAGCCGGATACAGCTTGCTTCTTTTCTCAAGGGGCCTTTCACCAAAATAACAAAATACATATTATCCCACTTAGTGTTTATCTGCATCCAGCCGTGCTGTTTATTATTTTAATTTTACCTACTCAATCTTAAGCAATTCAAGTAAAAGGAAATTGTTTTTGAGTCAGACATAATTTAAAAGTTCCATCCAGAGAATTCATCAGCACTGTGTTTTTCCGAAATAAAAGCCGGGGGCGGTTTTCTAAAGAAAATAGTCATGTTTATTCAAAAGCTGTACTTAAAGGTGGGGTACAGTAGGTAATTTATTTCAGAAACACTTTTTGTTATATTCCATGGAATGCTCTTAACATCCCGATAGCAATGAATATCTTAAGTGCTTTGACAAAAAATCCATACAAAAATTTCATCTGTGGAAGCCGTGGTACTGTAAAAAGCACGACCAATCATTTTAGCCGGCCCGGCTAAAATAACTGGATGGCCTACCTGCCTGTCAGCCTTCCATCTGTGCACAAACTTATCTCGTGTCCTCATTGGTCATGTGCGTGTTCGTGTGTGTTGGAGGAGGGGCTCTGTAAGGAAGTCTGAAGGAAGAGGCAGATTTTTCCGGTTGTTTACTTTCAAATTCTAGCGCACTCGAGCTGGTTTCTCCAAAATTACATACCCCACCTTTAATTATAATGTTTTTTACTTTAACTAGTACATTTAACTTGAAAACTTTGCATTTTTTACTAGACTATTTGTCATTGTAGTTGCAGATACAGATGAATAATACAATATTTAATCTAAAATGTAAAAGATGGCATTATTAAAGATTGAGATAAAAGTTAATAGAACCTTGGAAGAAATTCACAGGCTACACAGCTGCATAATTTAAGTATGAGTATGTTTGTTCATTAAGGGAAGTACACATTTTAAACCAAGTCTTTTGTTGGTAGCACTTTGACTGCAGTTTATATCTAAATTAAGTCAGTGAACTGATTTATAGCAATATCTATCTATAGTATGCTCGCCTACAGCATGACAAATTACAATGACATTGCATGCTGTAGGCAATACGAGGTTTTTTCGCTTGTACGAGGAAGAGTGTATCATTTATTGAAGATCCCCTTACAGATATGGAGGACCCCTTCTGTTTTTTGTCATTAGCCCACCCTCAGGAAACACAACAGCTTTGATCTCATTTACATGCTCATAGCCTCCTCAAAAGAAAATCACTGACATCTCTTACTCCTCCCATAACTTCAACCATTCTCATCTGACTGAACACCTCCACTCTCTCTAATTACTATGTAAATATTCCTCCGCAGCGATGCTCTGTGTACGATCCCTGCAGCTTTGATCCGAGGCTGCTGTGAGAGGTAAAATCTTTCTAGCTACTTCCGTCTGCACTATTCCTTTGTTGTCCTACTCTGTAATTTGTCTTCCTGGGGACAGCAGATTGATCCCCACACTGCAATCCATTGTAATCTCCCACAGTGACCCACGCATGGGACAATAGGGGGCGAGGGAGTTTAATTACCTCAGGGCCCAAAAGACAACATGATATTCCTTCACTGTTTGATGTCTAAATCTCCTCGATGACTCCCCATATACTTT